CAGTCAAGGTATCGATACCCAGCTACCAGTATGAAGACTACGTCGACATCATGGGATCTTTTGTATCTAGGACCGACATACCCCACTCGCCAGAAGGCTTCAGTAGACCCATTGGCACATTCTGGACGCCAAATTCCATTGACAACTCGACTAAGCAGCGCAGCCATGCTCGCAGAGCTTACTACGACCCAGTTCAAACACGCACCAACTTGCATCTTTTGACCAACACTCACGTGGATGAAATCCTGTTCAAGAATGGTAGTACGCTTGTAGCCAGTGGTGTTAAGTATACGTCCAACGTCGACTCCTCCACCGGATCTCTACACGCAACGAAAGAGGTCATCCTGGCAGCTGGAGGCGTCTTTACACCACACCTGCTCATGTTGTCCGGAATTGGTCCCAAGGACGAACTATCTGCCGCTAAGATCACTGTGAAGAAAGACCTCCCGGCTGTCGGTTCGAACTTCCAGGATCATCAAGCCTTGTACATGCGTTTTGACCTCTCAAATCAGTCCGTTCCGAACCCAGACATGCTCGTTACGACACCCGACCCAGCTTTTAACGCTACAGCTGCCGAGCTGTATGTAGCTAATCGCACTGGACCGTGGACCTTTGGGCGAGGCAATGCAGCACTATTCCTTGCATTCAAAGATTTTTCTACCAAGTATGCTGATATAACTGCCATTATCTCTGGACAGAATGCAACTGCATACTTACCGCAACGCTACTCGAAGATTGACACTCTGCTGAAGGGCTTCATGGCACAGCGTAGGATTCTGGTCGACCACTATCTCTCCGACTATGCAGCGACCGGCGAATACCCGATCCAACCTTGGGGTCGAGCGACTACTGCCGTGCAGAAGCCTCTCTCCCGAGGCACTCTCTCCCTCAACACTACGAATCCATGGGCGAACCCGATCGTCGTTCGAAACGCATTCCAAAACCCAGTCGATAAACTAGTTCTTGGCGAATTGGTGCGGTGGAACAGGCAGCACTGGACCACCGCGCCCCTGCTCCAGCGCTACGCCCCCGTCGAGACTGTGCCAGGTGCGCAATATCAGACTGATGACGAGATCTTTGACTCCAGTATCAAAGCAGCTGCGTTAGATCCAACCTATGCGCATTCAAGCGGTGCATGTGCGCTTATGCCCGAAGAGTTGGGTGGTTGTGTGGATCCACAATTGAGAGTATACGGAGTAGAAAGGCTGAGGGTCGTAGACGCGAGCATCCTGCCCTTGATACCGGCAGCGCACTTGCAGGCAACGATGTATGCTGTTGCCGAAAAGGCCGCAGATATAATCAAAGAGAATAAAAAGGCGTAGAGATGGACTGATGAGCAGAAAGATGTTGTTCTGGATGATCTTTCGAGTTTGAGTGAAGTCGCAGTTAGCCTGTCAGCCGCATCTTGTAGGATCTGCTACAATCTCACATAGAGTGGATACGCCTTCTGTAGAACCGTCGCGTAGACCTTGATGACACTAGAAACATCTGAAGATAAGTCTAGAGCTAGCTGGCATAAGATAAAAAAAAGGCGAGCTTCCTCGTAAAGTTAGTAATATAACCGGTCCGGTGGGACGCTTGCTAACCTCATGTACGCTAGCGCTATGCAAACTTCGAGTGAAAATGCTACTCGACCCTCAGGTTCCCCCGCACGCCACCAATCCGCTACAAGCAAAATGACGTGCTCCGTTGCATACACTGCGAAATTAGCCAACGATGCAACGATCGCCGGCTTGCGCGCGGACTGTTGGTAAGACGCTCGTTATCCACTAAGAACACTCAAGCTTCGCCATGAAAAGCTTCCATGCGCCAGCCTCTGAGCTTCGTCTCTTGCATTGCAGCATACTATCACGGTAAACTTCACCCACGATATGGCGACCACGGACCCTGAGAAGGCGCCTCATGATGTCGCAGCATCACCCGACTCGTTGGACCGGATACAGTCTCACTTCGTCAATGAGGATCGCTTGCGCCGCTCCCTCAGCGCCCGGCAGGTGCAGATGATCGCAATCGGAGGCACCATTGGAACTGGCCTATTTCTGGGTACTGGAAAAGCTCTCGCAACTGGTGGACCGGCTTCGCTACTCATCTGCTATTCTATCGTCGGCTTCATCGTCTTCTGCACCATGTTATCGCTCGGCGAAATGGCCGCCTTCGTTCCTGTCGCGGGCTCCTTCTGCACGTTCGCGGGTCGCTACGTGGATGATGCGTTTGGTTTTGCGTTGACATGGAACTACTGGTTCAACGATGCTGTTAGCACCGCCGCAGACCTGGTGGCTTTACAGTTGTTGATACAGTACTGGAGCGATAGCGTCCCGTGGTATGCTGTGGGTATAGCAGTGTGGGTGCTTATCGTGTTGGCGAACATCATCAACGTCAAGGCATACGGTGAGCTTGAGTATTGGCTCAGTCTGCTTAAGGTGGTGACCATCATCATCTTCATTATTCTCAGTATTGCCGTCAATGCAGGTGGCAACACCGATTATGGGTATATTGGAGGAAAGTACTGGACTGTCGGAGATGCACCCTTTGTGGGTGGCATTGGTGGCTTCGCGTCAGTTTTCGTCACGGCATCTTTTGCCTACGGAGGAACCGAATCGATCGCAATCACCGCCGGAGAGACGCGTGATCCAGCGCGTACGCTTCCCAGGGTTGTAAAGAACGTCTTCTGGCGCATTTTGCTCTTCTACATCCTAACGGCCATCATGATCGGATTCAACATACCGTACGACTACCCAGGACTTTCGACCAAGTCATCTCGCACATCACCCTTCACCATCGCATTCCAAATGGCAGGCTCGAAAGCAGCTGGATCTTTCGTCAACGCGGTAGTCTTAACCAGTGTCATATCTGCTGGTAATCACGCGCTGTACGCTGGCTCGCGACTGCTCTACACACTCGGCGCGAACGGACACGCACCCAAAGTTTTCACGAAGCTGACACGTTACCAAGTTCCATGGGTTGCCGTCATAACGACAAGCTTAGTATCCATCGTACTTTTCTCCCTATCTTTTGCAGGCTCTGGCCAGGTCTGGACATGGCTACAGAATATTGTAGGTGTTTCGAATCAGCTAAGCTGGATCTGCATTGGTATCTCCTCGCTGCGTTTCCGCGCCGGTCTCAAGGCTCAAGGAAAGGAGCACCTACTGCCCTTCCGAAACTGGATGTACCCTTGGGGTCCGATCATCTGCGTGGTTCTGAACTCTTTCATCGTCCTAGTGCAGGGATGGTCCTCATTCAGCCCCAAGTTCGCCGCCGTAGATTTCGTCAGCTTCTACCTGGAGCTACCAATATTCCTATTGATGATCGTCGTTTGGAAGCTATTGAAGAAGACGAAGTTTAGGAAAGCGAGTGAGATGGACCTCGAGACGGATGTCTACACTAAGGAAGATATGGAGCCGGCTGAAAAGGGGTGGAAAGGCAGAAGCAAGAGGATCGGGACATGGTTTTGTTTTTGAGGGCCCACTTTCGGGCCAGCATATATGAGAGTATCGTGTATGTACCGTTATCATGAACTAATGTTAGTAAAGTGTCCAGCGAACTCTAGACATCCGTCGACACTAAGACCACTAGATTTCCTTCTACTATGGCCTCTCGAAACTGTTCTCCCTGATGGTAATGTGATCGATAAATGCTTACAAGATAGATCACTGGCTGGAGCTGTTTATCGCTTCCAGGCGGCATTCCAGAGACTAACAACACCAAATATGACGGATAAGGATACAGTATGAGCTTCATAAATGCTCGTCAATGTTCTGTGACAGTTCTAGACGCTCTATAACGCTTCAGGACGCGTCTTCAGCCTCATAAATGTAGTAAGACTGGTAAATCTAGATGGTAGGTTGTGATTGGCAGGTCTCAGTTACCTCGGCTAGGGGTGAGTGGTCTTTCTCATGCAATGCGGTAACGAACACGATGAGGCAGCGCAGCTGCTGGCCACGAATAAGATGACGATAAAATTACAAGCCCTCGCTTGCCTGCGAACATGAATGGCTCCAGACGATTGGTCGGCTTTCATGGCTTTTCGTGAACCGCTATCAGCGAGGACCTTCGGTCTCAGCTGAACTTATCAGTGACGTGGTCAGACTCTAGTCAATAAATACGACGTCCGCCACGACATTTCCTGCTAATCGCGTCTTCTTTAAACCTGTTTAGCTTGTTCCTTCGAATCACACTAATTCAAGGCTATTCCACGTTACTGTAATGGCCAACAACTTTCGTTACGAGCCGCTAGTTGGGTCATACTCGACACGAGTAATAACACTCTTGCCCAGCGCTTCAAGGAAAGACATAGTTGAAGTTAGCATTGCAGAAATAGATCTTGAACGGTCGCCCACATACGAAGCATTGTCATATGCATGGGGAGACACTTCGCAGAGAGTCGCTCTCCTATGCCATGGGAAAGACCTGCATGTCACACCAAACTGCGAAAGTGCACTGCGGCATCTGCGGCAAGACAGTGGTGCTAGGACACTATGGGTGGATGCGATCTGCATTGATCAAAGTTCAATGGAAGATCGAAATCAGCAGGTTCACATTATGGGTGATATCTACTCGAAAGCAAGTTTGGTTCTTATCTGGATCGGACCTGCCGCTTCAGTCGAACCCTTTTTGTTCGGAATTTTAAGACAATTTGAGAGTGTAAGAAGCATGAATCAAGAGACCCAAACCCTCTTATCAATACAGATATATCAGGTTCTTCAAGGTAATGATTATTCTCAGGTTTCATCACCCAACTATTCAGACACTAACTGTCCTTTGTAGCAAGTGTTCTTCTATTGAAGTCTCTCAAAACCATATATCAGCGGTCATGGTTTCAGCGTATTTGGACTCTCCAAGAAGTAGCGTTGGCCAAAGATTCCTTGGTCATTTGCGGCGATTCGAAAATCTCCTGGTCGCTTCTTGTGTACGCCATAGATCAACTTAGGGCGGCGGAGAACAGTATCGGTGTCTACGGAGACTTCTCTGCGTTCAACTCTGCTATATCTGCGCACCAGATCATGGTACAGAATCTTCTGCCAGGGCCTCAGATCAGTTCGACTATGAACCCAAACTCGGATCGAGCAGTCACACAAACCATAGTTATATCTCTCCGCAGACGCGCAACCGAACCGAAAGATTATATATTCGGCTTATACTCCATACTCCAACGACTAGGTGCCGACCTCCCTCCTCCGGACTATGAACGAAACATCGATCAGATATTCACCGAAGCTGCAAGACTAGCCATTGAGAAAGATAACAGTCTTTGGATTCTGGATTTTGTTGGTAGTATTGAAGAGAAGCAGCACTGGCCATCATTGGTGCCAACTTGGATCAACATGATGGTTCCAGGCCCCGTAGAAGTGAATGCATTCAAGCCTGGTGCCGCCGGGAACTCTCGACCACGATACAAATTTTCAGAAGATAGCAGACGCCTCACCCTGCGCGGCAAGACTGTGGATAGAGTCATGATAAAGACAGAAAGGTCGCCATGGTTTGGTGTCCCGTACCAGTTGGATTGGGAGGACATGCTTATACCCGGTCTTCAGGAGAGAGAAAACTCGATCAAAGCATTTCATGAGTGGATAATTTGTTTCCACACTTTCAAAATGATGGCACGAAACACCCCAGCGAACAGATACGGGGACGACTCTCAGCATATCATCGCCTTCATCCGTGTATTACTGCAAGACCTTACAGTAGTGCCTGATAGCTTGAGGAATTTTCATGAACTGATGCGCGGGTTCAGCAATTGGCAACTTTATCTCAGTGCCACGAATCCTGGTTCGAGCATGCCGATGCCTCAACTCATGGCTAGGCTCGAGCCACCGTCGTACGACCCATCCTCGCTACCCGAATGGCTTAGTGATCTCACCAAGACAAACGAGTGGAATATATATGAAGCTATCCAGCAGGATCCTTCAGCGGCACTGTTTCATAATCACGTCGCTCTTGGTACTCGCGCCAAGCTGTTTTTCGTAACAGAAAACGGATATTACGGTACCGCTTCAGCGACTATCGAATGCAACGACTACGTAGTCCTCGTCTCCGGTCTCCAGGTACCGCTGATAGTGAGACCCATCGAAGGGGAAGCGGGTCATTACAAGCTTCTGGGGCCAGCTTTCGTGAATGGTATGATGAGTGGCGAGCTTTGGCCAGAAGCAGACGAGGATTTGATGGATCTCACGATAGTATAACCACCCAAGGCTTATGCCGTTCTTCTCTCTATCGAACAAAACTTCAGTATGCCTGTGCGATACCTCCCTGAGCGTAGTTCCTTACAGCACGATATCGGGTAACAAGAGAGCATGTTGTTTTTAAAGGACTTGAGATGAATCGCTATCAAGCTATGATAGCCATTAGCAGATATTTATGCCCTGTGCTGAGTCAGGCCGGGCCGTTCTGGTCCATGTCCTGACAGAAGCATGCTAAGGCGGGTCGCGGGATAGCATGGCCCCGGCTTATTGTGCTATGCGACACCCACTCTAATTTATACAACCAAGCTGGTTCCTTCCGAGGCTCGTCTAGATCTCATGTTGCAAGTGTTCACTGTGGTTAATGCTGATCTGCTAACAAAGTGAACAATAGCGCGTGTTCTCACGATACATGGCGAATCTTCTGGTATAGTGCAAGTGTCGTTGCACTCGGCGCGGATGCATTCTTTCGATATATCTGACCGTCGAACGATGGACTACATGACTTTGATAGTCGACTTAGATCGCGTAGTGGGCAAATTGGTTGAGGAATCCTTCGGTTTCGGCATTGATGGAGGCTGGAGGACGACTTGGGTAGCTAGGTACCATCACACCGGATTTTGCGTGTCGCAAAGTGTCAGCACGTGATTCCAGTGTAACCTATGTGGCGCCCAACACAACACTACGTCTACACCAACCGGCGAATTTTAGCCACGCATTGCATTGCTTGTCGCAGCCAGATCCAGAAATCTGCAATCAGGATCTAGGAGTTGAAACTCACAGCCCTGCCACAACGGGACGCCTACTTGGCGGGCGCCAACCATACTGGGATAGGACAAGTGCCTTTCCCAGTTCAACGCTGTTCGTGCTGCAAAGTTCCGCCCCGCATATCGCCTAAACCCCAAATGCATTACCGTGCCTCATGCACCCACTCACAGTCATCGAACGCGACTAGGATGTCGAGATAGATGGGCGTAGTTAAATGACACGATAGTTGGGGTCCAAAAGACAAGTCCCACCCTGCGACAATGTTGCAAACTATGAGAGCTTCCCTGTCGCTCTTTTTACCCTCAATTCCGAGCAGTGTTTGCGCTGTCGGTTCTTGTACTATCGCCTAGACGTTCGTTACAACTCGTCATGTTTTCCTTTCTGTTGCAGTTGGGCTCTGTTGGCGTCGCAGCAGCGGCCTTGATAAATCCCCCAATGCCTGCACCGACCGCTCCTGCAGTGCTCCCTAGGCAAGATACTGGTATCGTAGTCGTAGGTTACCAAGACATTGGCACCGAAAGCGATCAACCTATCTGTGAGTATGCCAGCTCTGCGTATTGATTTCGCCATCTGACGATTTGACCTTACTCTAGGGGCGGTTTCGACTTTCCCTCGATCGGAGGGCTATCTTTTCACGACTGGCAGCCTCTGGCAAAAGTGCAAAGCGTCCTCGGCTTTCGAAGTTGACGGCTCGAGCACAACTTCTCCATTACCGAGGACAGGCTGCGAAGCATGGACGAGTTGCTTCCACACGACGGTATATGGAACTGGAGGTCTAACTAGTACTTGGTGAGTTGGATTGCACAGATGTTGTGTAAGATGAACCAGGTTAACGAAATGACTAGCGATGGAGAGTATGGATCCTGTTACTCAGATATCATGTTCACCACCTCCGGCGCTTCTGACGCATACACTCGTATCTACTGCGACTGGACGGGGAGTCATCCATTACTGTCTACAACTCTGTACAAGGAGCTTCCGGCAAACGGTACGCGGGATGACACAAACCTTGGATTCTGCTCACTACTGACATATCACAGCGAACCCAACATCAGTCGTATCCCAATCAGAAGTTTCCGCTACACCGGCATCGAACAGCAACCCGTCGCCTTCGGCATCTACTCCATCTCCGACAGCTAGTCCTTCTAACGAGGAAAATCAGTCCCCTGGTGGCGGCGGTGCGGGCAATACCGCTATAATCGCGGGTAGCGTTGTCGGAGGTCTTGCAGTCATTGCATTCGCTGGTGTAGCTATTTTATACATTCTTAAGCGCTCGAAGCGCCATGCCGCGGGCGCTCCGATTCCGTCCAGCGATGGCGACTCCACAAATCCCCACGGTACGCCGGAGATGACAAGAGATGGATACCCAGAGGCACCGGCATATTCACCAATGGCGATGAAGTACGGTCACGCAATCAATGGAGGCGAGCTTGACGGGCAGCATGGAACGGCGGAGCTGGGTGGCGTGCCGCTACATGAGGCCGAGGGACGACGATAGAGCGAAGAAAGGCAGACCTGTGGGAAAATAAGAGGCCATGAATGTGGTTAAGAGGGCTGTGGTGTATTAATTAACCTAACCGCATGATCATCAGTGCGCTTTCCGATATGCTTACGCGTCGATCCCAAATATGGTGCTGGCCAAACGCTAGCCAATGTCATACCTCGACGTGGCGTACACCCGGTCTAAACACAGCGCATTTGTTCATTATGTGAGCAGGCAGTTTTTATGAAGCGTCTCCATTCGACGATTCACAAGGCAGATTCTGACCCTAGCTACCATCACGATCCGATTTGCCAGTCTTGGCCCCGAGTCAGCATTAAGGGACGGCGGCGCGGCGGCGCTTACCTAAGACTGTACCAATGGCGTTTCCTACACCCCATAGCCATACTGACATGTTACCAACTTCGGCTGTTACACAGAACAGCCTGCTCACGACATTGAAAGCTGGGGAATGTATCTTCTAGACACTTCGCCATGGCAGACTTGATTTGCGGTGTGTTCAGGTGGGTGCAGCACGGGCAGGGAGCCGCAGCCACGCAGGTCCAGGCCGATGACCCAGTATTCGACCGACCAGTGTGTACGCGGGTCCTCGAAGCCGGAGATGATCAGTAGCATCTGACAGTACAAAGTAAGATGAAACAGGCAGTTAGGATGAAAGCGTGCGCGTTCTTGCTCTGGGCTGTTTCTTCACCTCTATTTGTTGCAGAGCCTCCATCTGCTCTCCCGACCTTCACAGCGTACGAACACTATGTCTCCCTTGGAAGTATACCATCCTCTACCCCTTACGATTGCTGTATTACTCTTCTTTATATCCGTTAGCACACTCGGCATTACAAGCCATACGATATGGCTCTTGACGCAATACTTCCCAGCTGGCGCTTGGTACATTTGGAGGGAACAGAGCGACATGTACGAGGAGCAACAGACAAGACAACAATGGATCGCTGTCGACTATAACGACACTACCGACAGATTAGCACTTGTCCGAGCGGTATTGGGGGCAGCAGCAGGTTTACTAGGTATCTGCGTTTCACGGGTGAAGAGAAGAAGCGTGGAAGACGAAATAAAGGTATTGTTCTTCTCATGCATTGTATCTTACTTGCTGCTTACATTTCGCTCAGACATCTCGCTCTTGCTTCCAGAGTAGAGCTTCGTATATCATAGCTGTGATTTTTGCCATCGCATCCTTCACCAGCACACTGACGTCCGCCATATGGTCCACGATTCTTCATCACCAATCGTCCGAGCGTTGCCGCGTACCAACATTCCTGAGCGAGTACAACAATAAATACACTTGTACGCGAGAATTAGCGGCATGCGTCATGTTACCAGTCATCACGAAACGAGATGATAGCGTGAGAAAACAGGCTTGTGATGAGACAGTAAGCATTGGATTCAAGAACGCATAATGAGATACCTGGCAGCTAACCACTATGCCATATAGAAAACCGCCCGATGGCTGATTGTGCCCATGCTTATACTAGATTTGGGGTTGGTTGTGGGCTATGCTGTACAGGTCTGGTCTACTAGGCGACGAATCGCTTGGGAAAGAAGGGTCGAGGGTAGGGTGTATGTTCTGGAGAAAGCTGAATGAATATCCCATGCACATTGTGACTACTGACCAGTTCGTGACGCGATCGTGCACTGGTGAGTGCAGATAGTTTGACAACCCGCTGATATGACCATATGCAAAGAGTCTCTATTAAAATTATTGGTCAATCGTTTGTTAGACTAATTGATTATGCCATCTGCCCCCTCACCGCACCAGGCAGCGCCAGGCTCGAGTGGGTATCCGCCATGAACGCTGCCGGGTTCGCTTCGATCATGCTGACATGGAAACCTTCGCCCGAATCCACACCTTCAACCATAACCCCAGTCGTAAATGGGCCCTTCATACATCCTGCACTGTTTCTGACCGCTTCGTTTCCCTCCACCGGCTCCGGGTTTGGGAATGAGATTCGGGGCGGTCCACTAGCACCACGTGCGGCCTCGTGTATATGTGTCGCCGTGGTTGCGGGAGAATCGAATTCGCCTTGGAAGTTGTGCAGAGTGATGTTGTAGCAGATCATGTTCGAGGCACTGTTGATGCCGAAGTTGAAGGTGCCGGATGCGCCGGCGAGACCGCCAGTCGGCTCGGTACCGTTGACGACTTCCTCTGGGACAGCATTGACGAAGTGGGTGGAAGAGAAATCGAAAAGCTGCCGAGCATCAATGATTCCAGCGGCAGCGGCCCCTTCGCCGCCAAGATCGATCGATAGTTGCAGCTGAACTCGGCCGCTGCCGATGTCGAGTGGCGCAGCGATCGCGCCGAGCACCAGGCTTGCGATAGTCGCGAAAGTGATGGTATACATTATGGTATGATACGTGTATATCTAGTGTTTTCCAAAAATGTGCGTTAAAAGTCTTATCAAAAGAAGGTGACAATAAGCAAGAAGTGAATGACGGAAAGAACGGAAGTGAAGAAAGACTGGTCAACAGCAAATTATTCCTGCAGAAATATTTACGACATGTTCCAGAACTCCTTATATGCTATTAAAGATTTGGTGATGCAGCATACGTGGATGCCTTAGCACCAAGGCTTGGTGTTGGCCTGGAAGTTGTTGTCCCGGTATTTGAGGCACCTCTGTAACATATGCTGGGTTTCCGGCATCTTGGCCTAACCCAACACCCGACGCGGCGCCTTGGGACCACATCATCCAGACGCAAATTTTACATACTGAGCCGATATATACGACAGAGTCGTCAAGTTTTCTTTGGGTGCCGACGCGCGCACGGTTCCGAAAGTCAATAGCGAATATCACCAATTCGTCGCAGCTGTTTCTCGTCTGCCAAGAGCACATGTCAAGTCGTAATTCTGGCCTGATTTTGTCTCAGCCACGGATTGCTGAGTCGTAAATGTCGCTTTCCCACTGCCTTTCCTTGCTGCGCGAGATGGGTTCATGCAACTAATCGTTGAGGTAGCGACCACGAATGCATCTACCATAAATGGCACAATGACCACGCTTGGATGAAATCGACGAACTTTCGTGCTATAAAACAGCAAAAGCGATGATAGTATGGCTTCATATGAAATGCGCCAGAGAGCTTGCGTTGTTGGGACAGCTTGCTCAGCTATGTACCCGTTGCCGTGATTACTCATAGCCCCTAAAGTATGCTGCAAGGCTGTAAAGACCGTACCAAGAAAGGATGGGTATAATATACTTTGAATCAAGGTGTTCTCTTAATAGTCTATAGAGAATGTACGAATACAATGTGTGAAGTGAAGACGAGAATATTGCTTGTAAACGATATCCTTGTGGCCGACTATAGTCCCGCACCAGCTCCAGGGAACTTTGAAAGCAGAGACTTGTCGTACTTCGCAAGCTCAGGGCAGCCAAGATCCGCAAGGATGGGGTTCAAGGCATTGGTCAATTTCTGGACAGCAGCCAGAACGTTTCCGAGTAGACCCTTGAGGACATCCGGGGCTGCGGAGTTAACGGCCTGGAATGCGAAGCACATGAGGTTGTTTCCTTCGAGTAACGTCTCAGCGTTGAAAACTCCGCCCGTGAGGTCTGCAATATTGATGCCAGTGAAGGTGTTAGGTTTGCCAGTGTTGCCGCCAATGACCGCCATGTAAGGAAGTGCTTGAAGCGCACCTACAGCATCGAGAGTGAAGGCTGCGATTCCGTAGTCATCACCGATGGCGCGACGGTACCACTAAAATTTCCATTAGCCGGCGTAAGAGACTTAAGATAGAAAGGGGATACATACGTTTTCTGGGATCCTCTCACGACCTGGGGCCCACTTGAAGCTTCCTGGCTGACCAGTAACACCCTCGAAAGACTTGAGTGTCTCAGCGTCAAGATAACCTTCTGGGTATTCCGCGGAGTGGTTGGAGAAAAAGTGGTAGGTGAAAAGGTATGTCGCAGTGTTGATTGCAAAGTGTGTTACTGGTCCGGCCCAGTAGTGTCCGTTGGTCGCAACAGAGTCCTTGTATCGCTTGCCACGGAAGGGATGCATAACTGTCAGGTCGTAGCCATTGGGACCGATAGGCATGGCGATGAGTTGCTCGAACTGGGGAAGGTTGAGAGAGACTGGATCGCCGCTACTGCTGGTTAGTCACATGACTGTGCGATAGCATAGCGTAAGACGTACGTTTTGTAGACGTCTCCTCGTGTAGGAGAGCAGTCAGCCTCGAAGCGGTTGTGTGTTGCACTCAACCCTTGTGGCTCTCCGATCAGTCCAAGACCGGTAACGAGTCCGCCAACCAGTCCACCACTCTTTGGCTTTCCACCGATGGAGACTGAAGTGATGTCACCACCCATAACGGTAGCAAGCACTGACAAGAAGCCAGAAAGTTCAATGCCCATGCCGAACACTACAACATTGTTAGAAAGCGGGCTGGTGATATATTAAAGGCGAATATACCTTCATTTGACGCAATTGTCAACTGTGTGAGACTTGCAATTCCGTTTCGGGGGAGGTAACCGTGGTTTGCCATTACATTCAGGCCTGGACATGGCCCACGGAGGTCGCCCGAACCTGGTGCGATCTATGCATCCAACTGTTAGCATTCCATGCACACAACTTCTCGATAACCGTAAGACAACATACATATGCATGGTTGCCAGTAGTGCTGATGCGCTGGACCTTTGCATCGAATCCAGGTGGTAAGATGCTGGCACCGAGTTGACGCTTCGTCTGTACCTCGTTTGAGATCTTTGCTGCCAACTCAGTGATCTCCGCGAGCTGCTCAGCACTGATGTCCTTGTCGAGGTTGTCAAGAAGGTTTGCTGGGAAGGCAAAAGCTGCCAAGGAAAAGAGAGTGGCGCCGCACAAGATTGAAGCCTTCATGTTTGCGATCAAGGATTGATAAATACTAAGGAGTGTAAGTATCGACAACGAGTGAAACAACCCAGCACTCGTGGCCTTGTTATATGTAGGGAGCGTGAAGTCGCGATGGCGAATCGCATGAACGAGTATCCAATCGTTCTTGATCGTTTTCGGATCGGAAGTTTAATTCAGGAGTGGTGTGTGCCTGGTCATCGGATGGGGATCGTAGCGCATGTACGGGCCTTCATGATGGCAAACCTTCTGTGCGAGCGTAGAACAATGATTCTGATTCTGTTATTAAAAGGCCGACAGAAGGGCCGAGTAGGAGGGATGGCATTGTCAGTGCAGCCTCAAAATCGCGCCTGACACGCTATAGACACGTACTAGCATGCTGATTGAGGCAGGTCGGAGCATTAAGTCTCTTTTGATTGGGCGGGTGCTTGACACCGACGTAGTTGGTTGTGACAGCGATAAAGCCCCTGGTGCGCGCGTAGTGTGTCTTGGTGGTCCGGGTATACTAGGCGTTGTTGAGATGGTAGGCTTGCAGTTGCGCTATCTGGGGACCTGCCGAGTCGTGTCGTGGAGGCGGGCCTGCAGATCTCCCAACGACGCTAGCCATGAATGGATTGGGAACACACACGGCACCAGGGCGAGGAGGATCGGCACTCAGATTTTACTTGGTGTTGACGACTCAAAATCGGGATCATTAAAGTAACCAATGTGAGAGGCAAACAAACACTGAGGTTGCATATGTTGATGGAACGCTGGTTCCTAGGTGATGCCGAATGTTGGCCGAAAATTCATGATTCGTTACTATAACGAGGACATTATGAGCGATACCCAACTTGGATATCTGACTATCTCCCACAATCACGGCTAGAGCCTGCTGTTTTCTGTGGTAAGGAGTATTCGCCCAAAGGCCACTCTTCTGCGTGTATGGGTGCGCGTGTTATGGAGTCTGGCAACGAGTCGGGAGTCAACGCTGTCACACGTCCAGTTTTCTCGTCCACAACAAGATCATCCAACTCTATGTAGCCCTCCTTGCGATCCTGATTCTCAATATCATCATCTCTAAACAGAGAATCCGTACTAGTGTGGCCTGTGATACGTGTGATCTTTTTGCTCAAACGACGTGTGCCGTTTGCAAGTGTGCTTGCGTTATTCGAAGGCTGAGAAGGATTGCTTCCTGAAGCAGTGGATTTCGATTTGCTTCGGCTCGTCGAGTTGTGGTAGTTTGACATCGCTTGGCTGACTGCTTGTTTGAAGAAGACACGGAGTATGGGGATGGACGTGGCAACAATCGTCATGGCGGACTCCGCGGTTGACCAAATGACGGAGTTGTATGCTTCATCTGGGTTTGTTAGCAATAGCTACGGAACGATCTTCGAGTTGTCTTACATGAAAGATCTTGGGTTTGCAGCAGTTCGACATATCTTGCTCTGACGATAGCGGTGGCTCCTGCTCTATAACTCCGTCAGCGCGATCCTGTTGTAAAACAAGGTCAACCCACAAAAGCCCCAAGCTCATCGCTATACCGACTCCAATCTTCTCCGCAGTACGCATCTTAAGGTTCCATAGGACTTTCCATGGTAGTAGTGCCAGGGAAATATCCATGATTGCAGCCCATACTGCCCCATATGTCAGTTACCCTGTCACGACGGATCATTATAGGGTCTACGAACCAGCTTGAAACCTTCCATATTGTACAGAAGGATGTTTGTTGACACACGTTCCAGGTAGGATATCCACGAATGTTTTCGTCAACGGCTTGCAAAGGGTCCAAGGAAGGACAGCTACTGGTACTGCAAAGGCGAAGAGGGTAATGATGGCAAACCAGACGTAGGCCTTCAGCCATCCTTCTGTCAATCGGAGCAAAGTGACGCCAAACGAGATTTTGCTCAAGATGATGGTGGCGATAGATACGGTAAGTCCGGATGCACCGTAGTACGTGATGCGCTCAAAATGGGAGAAGTCAACTAAAGCATGGATTAGAAGATGGTATCATGAAGGCTACTATATTTTCTTACTGTCAAGCGCGTGCTTCCCAAACCCTAAGTTTATACTTAATTGGTTCAAAATGAGCTGAACGAGAAGTAAGGACTGTGTTGCATTAATGACCAGGTCTCTGCTTGAGTGTCGACATCACTTACCCAGCTGATTACAAGCAGACCATCGTCGTACCAAAATTTCTTTTGACTTTGGCGGATCCCGCAGCGAACAACGAGGAAGAGAAGGGAGACTCCACCAAGCGACCAACAAGTAATGCTCATCAATGGACCATGTGATTCACTCGGGTCGCTCCTCCAGTTGTCGAACTGGGAAGACATCTGTGCGCTCGCGGAAGGCCGTATATTAGATGCAAGTGAGTTGCCCGGTGGCTATTGTGTGATCCAGCGGGGTATCAATCAGGTAGGCATGTATGCTTCGCGGAACCAGAAACCAATGTATAGGTAACAGTCCGTGGGTATCGGGGTGTAGGGCATAAGCTATAGGACGAGCTAGTGCCCGAGGATTTTACGTATCCCCACGGTCCGGCGAAGATCTGGCCGAACCCGGTTGTACGGGTTTCGACGATGTGATGGTGGTGAGGTATGCAATTTCTCGAAGTTTTAATGCCGAAGGCCATAACAGCATCACAGAAGCGTGGGTTCATGCTGGATCCAGCCTCGTCTCGGTGTTAACGTTTCTGGAGCGTGCTTCGTGAGCTTACCTAGTTTGGGCTGAAACTAGTGTTCGGAAGGCTCAGTTGAGACCATGGCTATCGTCATATCCTAAGGCCTTGGCCAATCGCTGGTTTTGCAACTTCTGCTAGCCTGCGTGAACGACGGCCCGAGCAGAGGACCCCTCCACTGATCCGCTTAGCATGCGCCTAGAACGCGCGCTAGCAACGGGCCCGTCTATGCCGGTAGACATTCCGTTCTCGAGAATGCGGCCATGAGTGATGGATATATACATTAGACATTAGTACCAAGGTGCCATGTAATGCTATCGCAGATCTCTGCCGTGGAGTCAAGGGGGTCGGTATCCGTTGCCGCACCAGGATCTGCGCCCAGATTGGATGATGCCCGCCCAGCTCCCTCATTTCCGATTTAAAGTTTGATATATGTCGAGCTAGTAGTGGACAGCCACAATCTTCTACGATCCGGAACCAGATCCAGGTACACGTGGATTTTTTTCGGGGGCGTTGCTTGTCGTCCATACATGAGAGCAAGGAGCGATGCTGGTATCCGGTACCAGCCCAAAGTCAGTTGCTAAGCATGCGTTGCGACAACGTCGGGTAGTCGCTCCGATAGGTGAGTGCTCGAGAGACTTCGATACATTGCGTCAGGATACTGCGAGTACTACAAACCTAAAGCGCCAGCAACTCGCGGCAGTCTTGATCGATACAACAATTGCGAAAGGTCTGCGTATGTAGTCGCAGCTGGTAGCTATATGATTGCTGTACAGAACTTCAGTCCACATCGCCAGTACAACGAGCTGTTGGAAAATCGTCACCCACTTTACGGTCACTAGCGTTCTCAATAATGCCCATGTACAACGCTATATGATTACTGTTCTTTCGCAGTTAACATCGATAAGTCCATCATCCCAAGCTTCGCTTCTTAATACCCCGCAAACATCATGTATGTTGGAGAACCTGATACTAGAGCATAGCGGATTCACGCCCGATCCGACCACGTTGGTACAGATCTGATCGTGAGGCGAACAACCACGTGCAGCAACAGTCGCACGTACTGCCACAACTGGACTGACAGATGGACTAGTAGGCCGGGCACCTTTGATTGGCCAAATCTGCTCCCAAAACACTCAGCTGACGAATGACATCGCGTCTCTAAAGAACCGTACGAAAGGTGGATGACTTCTGCTGGAAGAGTTTACTATAGTGACTCCTACATCTGGCCACAGTATGGTAGTGCGTTTGTGGTGCCGTACAATCTATCGAAAGCACTTCGCAGTGTGAACTGGCTGCATGATCAGCGCTTTAAGTTGGTAGGAAAACCTACGTACAACAATAGCGCTTTCCATGTTCTCATCTGAGGAACATGCTAAGTCTGGAAAACTCCGGCGCGAGTCACTTCAGCGTGTTGGAACACTCGATATAGTAGAAGAGTTGTTTCCCTAGACAAGCAACTTTGAGCGCGTCATTTACCCGGTAGACATTGGAGATAGAGTTTTGGGTGCTTGCATGCGCTGGTCGGCCGCGCTTACCAGCCAGGAACCGTGAAATATCTGTCCCATGCATGGAAATCGAAACCTAGTCGTTGCGCAAGTTGAGGGACCCTGATCGACATCCATAAACTGGAGGGTGGAAAGGAGACTAGGTTGGTGGGAATCCGGAAACTAGGGTTGAGGTAGCTAGACTTTGAGGCAAAGTTTTCGGGATGACTCGGCCAGCCTCCCTTCTTCGGTTTCGGGCTCGCAATCCCCTAAATCAACATCACTCTCAAGTCCCAAATACAACCTCTCGTCCTGTGATCCTATCGGCTCCATGTATACCAGCTAAGGTCCATCTCATCAGGGACGTATAGCTCCACCTCGGCACTGATCCATTCCATAGAGAAGGCTGAAAATTTCAGGAAAGATGGGACGGATCTTGAAGCTCCAAAATCTGCTACGAAGCCACGCAAATAGCCTCGGTTGAAGATTATGCTGCGATATCGTAGTCCCTCGATGTTCAGGACGGCTGTTCGTTATGGAAGCTCGGCATTGATGGAGGGTTGATGAAAGCTGGGTTGAGGGCGCGATGTCCGCTTGGCAGATCGCTAGGACTGGGGAGCCAAATTGCGATAGTACGCGTCGAAGTATGCACTGTCAGACACTCGCTGGGAATCGTCCGGGAGCGCTGGACTTGAAGTTGAGATGGAAATGTGATGGAGGGTTCGTAGGTGCTCGCTGCGCTATCCGCTCCGGAACCATTTTCCGAGAACGCGCACGTGGCTCGCCTCCGCACTTATCTTGGCAGGCACAAGAAAGGCAGGAGGGGCCTGAACGACGTCATGTCTTACTGCAACTGCTTGTTTACGGAGGATTGCTTGACGGCGTTACCCCGAAGTTGGATTGCTATGTACGACTGATGGCGCTCCTACAGGAAGTGATATGCATATGCGGGGTATCGTGGGGAGCGGTACGCAAACGCCTGGGGTAGAATAAGACTTGACTAGAAGCTCTGCCCAGTTTCTTTAGCTTTCTCCATCATGATGGGAACGAGACTTCTCCCGGTGCTTATAATTACGCGATGCATATTTGCACAGGATCACGTCGACTATGCGCAATACGTGAACCCGTTCATTGGGACTGAAGGCGCCATTCCTGGCCTTGCATGCAAGACACACAATTCTCTCTGTGCGCTCTTTTCTGACAAATTCCAGACGGCGGCGGCGATGTATTCGTTGGCGGAGCAGTACCATTCGGTATGGTCAAATTGGGGATTGATACCTATGAAGAAATGGTCAACATGAGTGTGCTCAATGGCGGATACACACCTCAAGGTTATGTTACTGGCATTAGTCTAATGCACCAGTCGGGTACAGGCGGCGGGCCAAAGTATGGATTTCCATCGCAGATGCCGCTGACAAATATTGATGGAGATGTCAATATACTGGACAACCAAACATACTGGCAGAATCGAGTAGGGTGATCAAATGCGGAGCATGGGTAATTGCTAACAAAAAACTAGGTTGGCGAAGATGTGGCACAAGTGGGATATTTTCGTACAGAGCTTGAGTCTGGTGTGGGGATTGAACTCTCAGCTTCGCGACACGCAGGACTATACCATTACACGTATCCTTTGTCGTCGGAGAAGCACGTACTCGTAGACCTCTCACACTATCTTCCCCATCTGACGCGCACATGGGATACACAATTCTACACAGGTGGTGAAGTCGAAATTCAGCCAAACTCCAGCACCTACACCGGATACACTTCAATTGCAGGTGGATGGAATATTGGTGCGCCAGTTACCGTGTATGTGTGCGGTGAGTTTGATAGTTTGCCTGACGAGGCACGAGCCTTCAAAGGGAAGAATACATTCCCCGCTAGTCGGTACTTCCGATCGTTCAACAATGCTACGACACCTCGACCTACGTATACTGGGTCGACAGCCCGTTCGGGACCGATGAACGACCGCGTCGGAGCAGTCTTCACCTGGAGTAACGCAACTGAGATCAAGTCGCGAGTAGGCATCTCCTTCAAGTCGGTGGACAAAGCATGTGCATACAAGAACTCTGAGCTCTCTTCATGGTCGATCGAAGATACCGCCCAGGCAACGCGTGACGAGTGGAACCGTGACGTCTTTTCCAAAATTCGTGTCGATACTTCAGAGTCGGCGAATAAGACTAGGCTGGCGTTGCTATACTCTAGTCTGTACTTCATGCACCTCATACCAAGTGAGCGTGTTGGCGAAAACCCGCTATGGGAATCGGATGAGCCATCTTGGGATGATTTTTACACCATGGTGAGTTTTTTGCCATCGTGTTGAAAGCAGACGTCACGCTGATCACCATCCAAGTGGGATCTCTTCAGAAACCAGGTCTCGTTATGGCATCTGATTCAGCCGAGCTACTACGAGTCCATGATCCGATCTCTGATTGACATGTTCAAACAAGAGGGTTATCTTCCAGATGGCCGATCTGGCAACTACAACGGTCTAGTACAGGGAGGATCGAATGCGGACAACGTTCTCGCGGACGCTTACGTGAAGGGTCTGACGGGTATGATCAATTGGACGGAGGGGTATGCCGCAGTCAAGAAAGACGCTGATGTCCTGCCGTTCTTCGACGAGAACCCTGTCGACATGCAAGGCTCGCTCAAGGAAGGTCGCGGAGCACTAGATGACTGGATACCACTCGGCTACGTTTCAGCTGATCGCAACACGCGAGCAGTCTCGAAGACGGTAGAGTACTCCCTTAACGACTTTGCCGTCAGCCAGATTGCCGCTGGTGAAGCACCTGGCGATCGAGATCTCTATCTTCGCCGGTCAGCGGGTTGGCAACTGAGCTGGGATCCTGAGTCCTCGAGTCGTAACTTTACGGGATTCGTCATGCCACGATACGCAAACGGAACTTTCCACAAGACGTACGACATTACTGATTGTGGCAGCTGTAATTGGGACGACGAAAGCTATGAAGGCACCGCCTTTGGTAAGCCATGATCGTCATCCACACAACTCCCCAATGCATGCTGATGAAACAACAGAATATTCTTTTGTGATTCCCCACGATATGTCGCGTGTTATCACGCTGATGGGTGGTCCTTCGCACTTTGAAAAACGTCTCGACTATGTATTCCAGCCGAATACGTCTGGTGTGGATCTAGGCGTGAATGGCCTCGGTATTACAACGATCAACAACATCGCAAACGAACCGGATTTCCAAACACCCTACCTCTACAACTACCTCAACAAGCAATGGAAGAGTGTTGAGCGAAGCCGGCAGCTTGCTAATGACTTCTACTTCAATACGACCAATGGCATCCCTGGGAACAGCGATGCAGGCGCCCTGAACTGCTGGCTCATATGGCAGATGCTCGGATTGTATCCTGTTGTGACTACTCCTGTCTATCTTCTAGAGAGTCCATGGTTCTCCGACATCAACATGACAGTCAACCATGACAAGACGCTGCGGATCAGGGCTGAGGGCCTAGACGATGGAGATGGAAGACAAGGATATTACGTTCAGGGAGTAAGTATCAACGGGCAGGAGTGGAGCAAGAACTGGTTCGAGCATGAAGACGCCGGCGGTATCATGACGGAGGGTGGTGAGATTGTGTTCAGGCTTGGAGAGCAACAAGTTGTGTGGGAGTCTGGTGATGTACCGCCCAGTCCAGGACATCAGGTGGTTGACGTCGGAGAGGGCGCACAATTCTCCTAGGAGCCACAGAATAGGACTCGGTCATGACTAAGAACTCGTTAGAAACTCGATGAGATGTAGAGGTGAGTTGGGACGGTAGCATGATGTGGGGTGTCTTGGCAGATGATAAGATTCCGAGGTCTGTAGATGATGTACGTCACGCCGGGCTTTCCGTCTCTTCAGACCCTCAATCAACACGACAGCATGCTTGGCGCAACACAGCCTCCCAGATCCCACCTCATGCTACGTTGGAAAGACCGCCAGCCTGACTGAACAGAATCCTTTGCGCATCGTCTTAGTCATCGCAAACATGTCTCGCCCAAACGTTAACGCGTCTATCCCTTCATACGAAGAGGCCGTCGTCGCGCCCCCGCCCACAACGGCACCACGACGCCCATCTGAGCCCGAAGCTGCCGAAGAGCTCCCTGCCGATGCGGTGCCACCACCCATGGTCATACCAGCGACGCCTCCGCCAGAACTGCCGCCAGCCTATGCTGTCGTGGACGAGAAAGCCACCACCTTCACCATTTACGGCACCTTCATCCATACCCCGAACGCGCCTGCCTACCAGATATCCTCCCTCCTGGACGCACGCATCAACAAGCTTCGCATACGAAGGTTGCGCGCCGAGGAAGTCACGTTTCTCCAATCCGGCGCGCCGACGGTCGCCTTTGATAACAGCAGCGTCCTTTACGAGGCACACGACCCGCCCTTCGTCATCAACGAGTACTACATTCAAGGAAAAGCGGGCAGTACGCTACCCGGCGCTTTACAGCTTCGATTCGGGTTGCGCCGATGGCACGTCGTACATATGCCTACGCAGGGCAGTCGACCGACTGAGATTATGACTTGTGGGAAACTAGGAGGATTTACAAAATCGCTTAAGCAGAGGAAGAACGAGCTGGAACCTAGCCAATGGAAAGACAGTGAGGGCCATGTCATCGCCACAGAAGTGCTAAAGATGGGTCCAGGAGGCAAAATGCCAACAATTGAGCTGAGGGACGATCTGGATCAGACATGTAGGGAGCTGGTTTTGGCGCTTTGGGTCAGTCGGCTCTGGGCCGCTTTTGGAGCAGGGAGCGGATACGTCCGTTGAGACTATCATCATAAAAGTCATCTTATCATTGTTGGATCGACAACCTCGACTGGGAAGCAACGTTCTACTCGCTACGAACGACCCTCTTGAATCCCTGCTTTGCAACCTGCTCCTTCGCCGCCGCAATGACAGCATCAGCGTTGGGGTCGGTGAAGCCACAACCAGTCTTTCCGTTCTGCTGGCTAGCTGCTTCGGCAGAGCATACACCGTCACCAGTAGCTGCGACTTGACTGCAGCAAGCGGAACTGCAGTCGGCATCCGAAACACAACCGCCGGTGATAAACTGGGCACCGTTGCCGGCACCGACATTCTTGGCGCCGGCATTGTTGGGTGTTACTTGGGCCATGGAGACGGCGGCCACTGATCAAAGTCAATACACAACATCTACAAGTTTCTGCTCGCCTCAGATTAGAACTTACGAGCGACGAAGGTGGCGATAGTGAAACGCATGTTGATGGTTCGAAGAAGTTGGGTATAAAGCTTTTGTTGAGAAGTAAAGAATGTATGTACTTGGAACGAGTGACACCAGGTCAGTTTTGCAGTCGCAGACGCAAAGAGAATGGAATCGAAGGGTGATTGCTGAAGTGAGAAGTGTTGCTTGCTTGATCGTCCCTGAACATGGTGCGCGACGCGGGCTTTTATGCCTGAGGAACTGGATCTCGACGTTCACCCCGCCGCACAATTCTAGCGCATAGAGTCATGCTGTCTGGTACTGTGAGGCTGTCACTGTGTGATCGCCTTGTCACCTGCAATTGCGGGCGTTGGATGTCTGGGGCAAATGCCTATAACGTCGGCAGTTATACCATGCATGATTCATGCTATGCCTTCGTCGATAGCCCGGAGCTGTTCACACATCCTCCGATCGCCCACTCGGACCTATCAGCAGCTTCAATGCCGTGGCGTATCGACCTCGTCGCAATGTCGCAAGACCTGTTTCAGACCGACTCACGTGATTGGGGTATATGCGAGCTGTGTCAGATGTGTCAGACATCTTGGCAAGAAGTTTGACGTCGGAATTTGGTTATGAGCATAGCGATCAATATCGTTGGACATAGGTCGATGGGGTGGATGAGGAGACATGATGCTAGATTGTACGATGCGCGTCTCTATTCGACGATCTAACATGCAAGAGCTATCCGTCCATAAATGAAAGAATCGTTCAAGGAACATGCAGCGTCAGATGTAAGCTGTCATGAGCATATGCCTTTGATACACAGCGTTTAATACAAGTTGAATGTAGGACCAAATCACGAGACACACGATTAGTGGAGCGCGCTTGTTTAGTGGTTTCAACATCCGGGTTGCTGTTCTCGGAGGAACGGGATCATTACTTCTGCGTCCTCACCACCATCAGTCTGGGTCGAACGGATCGAAAAACTCCCAGAACTCCGCCCATAGCCCCTTCACAGCATTTCTAATCGCACCCTGTACCCCGTCATTCGCAGCTGACCAATTCTTGTAAGCCTTGTTGCCTCCTTCGACTTCCAGGCATCTTTCGCTGGTTCAGCACGGCGTGGCGTAGCTTCATTGTAGCCGTTAGGTTCCGTCTGTATCTCTCTCATTGCGGTTCCGCACGTACTGGAAATATCGTCGCTATGAGGCATCACCGCGTAGGCCATTACCACCAGCGAACGATGCGGTTGGTTTGATAAATTGATAGAGATTCGATGACCGGACTACTACAGGAAACGAGAAACTTTTTGTAAGGAGCGAGATCGTCTTTGTCTATTGCTTGCGAACCACAACAATAGCTGCATACTGATGGATATGCATGAGTTTCCACGACGTTCACGCAACACGATGACCACTTCTACCAGAACTCCATAACGACATACCATCTAATTACGCTGCCAATCAGGAAAGCCCAGCTACCTGCCATTGCGGCAATAGCTGCGTTGAGTTCACCTTGTTCCTGTGTCTCTCCCCTTTGGAATAGGAAGAAACCAGACACCATGAAGCTGAGTCCACCCATCGCATTCAAGAATGCGCTCTGCCAATCTGGATCAGACCACTTGGGCTTGTACCAGCGCTCTTGTTCAAATACTGCCAGCATAGCGTTTGCGCCTAGGAAGAGGGCGCCATGTATAACCTGCGGCCCGAAGACAACGAGACCGAATAAGGGATCTTCTTCTGAGACTAGTCCAGGGAATTCGACGATGCCGGCAAACATGAAGATGACACCACCGAAGAGAACGATAAGACCTGCCTGAAAGGCCAAGTTGTTCTTCGTCAAGTCCAACGCCTTTGTCCATGAAGGTATCCACTTGAATTCTGGTGTGCCAAGGAGCGCTGGGCGATATTTGACTCTCTCGGGATCCCATTTCGACGTTTCGAGTGTGCCGCGGTCAATATTGAGGGCGCTGAAGGTGTCGAAGATGCCAGCCACGAAGAAGAAGATTGATCCGATCAACACCGTAGTAGGAACAGCGACTGTATCCTCGGTTTCGAACACGGTGGATGGCATGACGCGAGGCAGCAGCTCGAAGAAAGCGTTGATCACAAGATCGATCGAGCCAATAAGGAAGATGATTGCCACTAGGTAAATGGGGTCGCGGTAAGGGAAGACGGTAAACATGGTCTTGAGCCGTACCCTGATTGAGTTGTTGTTGTCCCGTTCCATGATCGAAGTGTTTTCGAGGTAGCGGTTGTCAATGTATGCCTGCTCGCTGTCAAGGTTGTTCTCAATGTCGAAGACGATAGGTTGTGCGATGCGCTCCGAATGGCATTTCTCGCGGTGTTCGACGTAATCGACGTGTACAAAAGACTCGAGCTTCTCGGTTGAAGCGGGACGTGGCTGAAGATGGATTCCCCCCATGTCTGATATGCTAGCTGGACGAGGCGTCATGCTCATCCGCGCCTGGCGGATGTAGGAAGCACGGATAGTTGCTGAGGCATTCATGTTGGGCAACAATAGCAGTAATGACTGAATATTAAGAATTAAAAGTTACAGTTACTTGTACTGAGAGCACCGCGAAAGAGATATAGATTTTGAGACGTCAAGCCTATGGAAAAGCAAGCAGATGTGATAGACCTTTATGGGGTTCGTACGCGGCCTAATCAAACACTGCTTGGCTATCACAGCGTTGATCTCCAGCTCAGACACCAAAGCCCAAGACTTGACATGTCTGACCCACGAGCTTCGTCATGCTTTTGGCGAACAAGCATCAACAATTGATGCAATTAAGCTCAACCAAGCTTTTTTGAAGGGATGTTTGTTTCCTTCAAACTTTGGGAGTGGGTCGATAGTGCGTGGCGCCGTTCCGGATGGCGGAGTGCCGCCACGTGTGTGTGGCAGTGACCTGTTCAGAGTGAGAGATGTTCGTTTCAGTATTTGGGTGGACGAGACGTTCAGCCCAAAATAGGGGCGACTAGACCAAAGGGGTTCGGATCGCCGGAAAGCGCCGCTCGGACCGAAAATCGTCAGGTACTAGCGCCGTGTGTACGCTTCATCCTGGAGGGCGATCTGAAAGAACAGCCGACTGAATCATGAAGCGAAGATGATAGCCAGTGTAATGAAAGCAGATAGAAGAGGATCATACGCGGTGTTGCAAGTTCCAAAAGCAGCACCAACTCAGTCGTCGAAGGCTCTTCTTCGGCTCAAGCCATAGTATCAGAAGCAAAGTACGATACCATCAATGTATAGTATATCGAACTCGCTTTGGTACGGATGTACGGCAGAGGACAGCGTCAGTTGGTGTGCCGCACAAAGTTTCTGACTGATAGTTACCGCAGATGTCCACGCGTCTCTAGGTTGTCAATACACTCGGGTATTGTGTAATAATGATAGAGAAAGCACACATCATGATAGCTGAAGGCACGATGTGCGTGACACGAAAGATTCGATCTTGTCGATGTTCATGAAGAAGCTGTCGCGCAGCCTGGGACGAAATCACTTCATAGTGACGGTGCTGACATCATCCGCTAGGCGAGATCAAGAAGCCACGCCTTATCGTCTGCCCCGGTCCACCTTCCATCCTTTCTATCGCATTGACACGTTTAGATTCGACGTTGCCCAAATCAGCCCACTATCGCAACACAGCACAGGACCTCCGCCTGTCACCGTCTTACGTCTCTTTCACTGCTATCGATTTCGCATGCTGATACCTAGCTTTGTAGTAGGCCTAATACAAGAATAGGTACCTTGTCTACTTCAAACCATGACCTGCGAGACAGGAGCACTCTAAGCGCCCAACCAAGTGTTCGGTGCCTGAGAAGGATGAGGTACCTGGGCCTGGGGGTAGGTACTGCACGAAGACCTAAGAAAAGACAAGCGAAGCGATGCGGCAAAAACACTACACTCAGACCCAACAATCATTGACGGGACCGGTATCCTTGCAATTTTCGGAGAACTGTTCCTGCTTTCTGCTAGAGTATTAACATCTGAAAACGATGTGATTATCAGTAACAGGTCGAAGGCATAGAACCCGCGCATACTTCATATACCACCATTGGCACCCAGCCTCCAGCACCGCGACCAGCGACCTCCTTTACGTGGCTATACTCAACCATATACTTAACACAAAATCATTATGTGATTCAGTGCCGTTGTGCCGTTCGTAAATGTTCATGCGCGTCTACATCGAGGGCGGGGGAGGATGGCGCCGCGCCCTAACGCGTAAACCCGCCGGGAGGAACACTGCATGTCAGCCGCGCTACCCGTCAGCAGTATCTACAAATCATCGCAAGCGCCTGTTTACCCCAAGATTAGGTGCATGATGCAGCCTTCCCCAGTCGAATATGCACTCAACAGAGCACGACAGCACACTATTCCGGAAAATGGGCGTTGGTACCACAGATAGCAAGGCAGATACCACTTGCTGGTATTTAGCCAGTTTGGACCTGCGATAGCTTGGGAATAACTGCCGAACCAGATGTCACAGTAAGCTATACCGTTAGCATCTTTTGGCGATATTCTAGGATTGATCGTCTTCTGTACTGTTTTTGGTCTAATCTACAGATACCCCGGACAACCTGAAGCACACGCTTGGCTCTTCTTCAATGATGTCCTGCGCATCATCCGTCTAGCCAACTACGTTCTCTCTGCTTCATATCTTTCTCTTTCGTCATGCTTATGGTGTTACGGGGCGCAACCATCTGGTAAATTTTCTATTTCCTTATCATTTCCTCTCGGGTCGGTTTCGTGAGCGTTCTGGTCTTTTCTCTTTTTTCCTTCCGATTATGAAGCTACCACTTGCATACATCTCGTCTCGAAGTGCACCAAATGGCGGGTTGGATAGAATGGACACCGTCAGGATTGTGTCATGGACCGCTCTTATCATCACTGTCATCGTCTTTGGCGCACGCCAGATCATGAAAATCATCGTTTTTCGCACAATCACGATTGATGACCTTTTCATATTCCTAGCATTCGTAAGCTACTCAACACCATTTCTCTTATCTTGTATTAATTCACGCAGTCATTCGGTATCGGCCTCTCAGCAACAGCTGTCGTTCTATCATTCGAGGGCCTCGGCACCGCCGGCCCTTTGATGCTCGATCAGATCGACCTGCTCATCAAAGGCTATTACGCGTCCGAGATCTTGTATGTCGCAGCTATTGGCCTTGCAAAATTGTCAATTTTGGTTTTGTTCTACAATGTTGTTGCAATGCAGCGTACCATTCGCCGAATCGTCATGGCCTTTGGTATCCTGGTGTCAGCTTGGACAATAGCATCGGTTATGGCGACCGCATTTCAGTGTGAGCTCCCTCGACCATGGGACATCACAAGTCTGAAATGCTCTAACATGGTAAGTAGCACTGGCTGTTTGGTCTAAACATGACCGGGGGCTGATTGAAGCAGCATATTTTCTGGATCATCTATTGCATATTCGACATGTCAACCGAGGTCGCCATCATCATGCTATCAGTATACCTTGTGGCATATCTTCAAGTACGACTTTCAAGGAAATTTGCCGTCTTCGCATGCTTTGCGCCACGCATGCTTGTACTGAGTGCAGCGCTCGTTCGCCTCATCCTGCTGTATCCGGTCGCACCCTACGACGATCCTCGATACCGGCTTTGGGAACCGGCAATCATGTCGCAAGTTCATGTATGCCTCAGCATCGCTACTGCAAGCATTCCGTACATGGTTCCTTTCTTCAAAGGCCTGGACAGTGACTTGCGAAAGAGTCACCTTGCGAAGAACCGGCTTCACTTCATCGATGAGGAAGCGGGACGATCAAAGTCATCGCTGTGGTTTCGCCGACATAGCAAGACGAAATCCCTGGATCTTTGGGATTCTTCTGCAGACGCAGGTGTCCAATACCATCATCTATCGCAAGTCTCGCCTTATCCTTCCACCTCAAGATCTCTGTCGCCCTTACCACCTCCGAGACCACATACGCCGCTGGGTAGACAAGCCAGCGTACGCGGCCTGAATATTTATATACCATGTCGGGATCCTCAACGGCAACGAAGTTTGGATTGGACAAGTCCACGAACAGAGAGCTCAGGCGCACTGTCACCATCGTGCACATCGCCGCAAGCTTTGCTCTTGCAATCATTCATTCCTTCCAGGAAGGCACCCAGCCCACCGTCGAGAATCCATAGCCCCATGCCGACTTCCCCAAGCTCGTGCTATTCCAGTCGCGCTCCTACACCAGCCTTGACCACACCGTACACACAACGCCTTTCGCTATTTCCGCCTGATGGCCCCTCTTCTAACTCATCGCAACCCCAGAAAGGCCCATATCTGACTTCGATCATACCACCTATTCGATCTATGCAATCGCAAACAGTACCCAGGATCACAGAGTCGCCAGAACTCTCATTCCCTAGAAGTCCTGCCGGACCTGGGTCACTGCTGGTACGGTCGTCCAGTCGTGCACAACCCCCAAAATTTAGTACTACAACGCATCTTCAGACGCCACCACTGATAACCGCACATGATGGGAGAGGTTTTAGGCCAGGTTCCATACAAGATCTAACGTCTCCGATGGGTGCAGCCATCAATGGATGGTTCAGCAGCGCGAAGACAAAATACTCTTCGCCTTTGTCTTCACCCATAAACGGTTCGCCAGATTGTCAACTGGTGGTCGAAAACTATGAGTTGTCATCGATGCGCTCGATTGATACACCGAGATCACCTCCTCCGAGTCATATGCGCTCACATGCTCGAGTAGACATAGCACAAGATGCGCCTTACTCGCCTAACGACACACCACTTGGCACGCAGAATCCTAGATGGCAAACTATTCCTTCTGTACATGACGTCCGACACAGCCCAAGGATTGTCTTTCAAACCCCTCCATAGCTGGAGTTCCACAATTCTTGTATTATCCTGTCTTTCGTATCTAGTTTGGGTGGTCTTTTAGGCGCAGAAACAGGTTGCTTTGAATGCTGTATTACGATCATACGATGCGACGATTGCATCGCAAGCTGTATAACATGTACTTGTACTTGATAACGTCCCCAGAAGAAGTCACCTATCGAGCAAAAGCAATAAAAAATATACCAGAGAGCGCATAGTCAGGATTACACTACACCGTTGCTTATAACTGACGACAGCACACAATATCTTTCTTCCTTCAAAACTCCCTCTTGACGTGCCACATATCCCACGGCGCCTGCCATCCCATGAGGATTCGCACTGCCTCTTTGTACTCGTCCGTCTTGATTACATCCTCAAAATACTGCATACCCTCCCATCCTCTCGCCACAAAGAAGCATTTGGCCTTCTTCACATCCTTGTGCTCCTGCTCTTCCAGCACCCAGCCATATGTTACCGCGCCATTACCCTTGGCAGCCGGAGTGCAAATATCATCGAACTTCTTGAAGTCCTTCTCTATCTTATCCCGGAACTCCTTTGTGACCTTGTCGGTCGGGAAGTAAATCTGCACAAACTCGACCAAAGGTGATGATAGAGGGCCGCCATTGTCAAAAGCTGACTGTCCATCTTTGAATGACACATGGAACATCTTCTCGGGATTTCCAAGACTTTTGATGACGGTTTCACGGTATGCTTCCGCTACCTTTGAGGATTCGGCTTTGGGGTCGTGCCATTCCGAGCTCAACTGTAAGTTACGCTTGTCCTGGATTTGAGTTCCTAGAACATAGTTTTCGGGGGCCTTGGCGCCTTTGAGGGCTTTGACGGCTGCGTTGGCTTGGTCGTCGGCTTCGGAAGCCGAGTGAGCATGGAAGCGGATAATTTGCGTTACTGTCATTGTGTTGGGTTGCGCGTTGAGCGAGAAGGGTAGCTTGGTCGGCAAGTTGTGTTGGGATGCAACAAAGCTGATGCGATTGATTTCAGCTTTAGGCGTATTCGCAATTGCTGTGTTGACGTTGCTTTTGCTGCACAGTCGCGCACGGTGTCATATATAAGTCGCGAGCTTCGTCATCGAGAGCTAACAGCCACAGACCCAGAGTAGATTTCCAAGATTGGATACTACGTGTCATCAATCATTCGATGGCGTGCCATAAGCCACATCGGCGTGCCGCAGTGTGCACGCCTTAGATATTAGGTGGGTACACGCTTCGGCGTTTGGCATGTTACTGGATGATGGTCTGGCAAGTGCAGCTTGCGGGGTAAAAATGCGCCTCGGCACTCCTCTACTATCCATAATACATTGTAGGGGAGTAAAAGATGCGAATAAACAGAGTTGAAAACCTTGATGCGACTGCGATACACTGATATAAGTAAAAGCCATTGCCAGATTGTGCTAGTATTGCATAGTCCGATGTGTGATGATGCCGAGTTAGGGGCTACGGCAGCATGTTTCCGCTATACCAGATTCGGTAACGCATCCTCTACGCAGCCGTGACATGATGATCTCCTTATCGTGGGTGATGAGTTAGGATGCTTGAAGGAAGAGGCTCAGCCCGAGAGCGGCGAGGATAGTAATACATTATGGGAATCGTGTCTAGGTCTATGTCATAGCTTCACAGAAGCTGCCCTATATACGGAAAAACAACAACCCAAACTCCTGCAAATGCTCGACTCGCTTGCTTCGAAAATACAACAGAGGAAAATGCGTTCTAAGATATGTTATGAATGACGTTGTCTCCCATGCAGCAGAACCGATTTGGACTTCACCAATCGGCAAGGTAACAGCAACGGGAATATGCAAGAGGGGGGTAATGCACAGCCGTTCCTAGAAACTGAACAATCCCGACCTCCTCTTACCCAACGGGTATACGATGAGCGCGGCCAAGAACAGGCCAACAGTGATACCAATCGCAATCTGAACAACTGAGAAACCGACATCTAGAGCGATGGAGTTGATGGTTGTGCTACTGCCTACGTCCGCACTGCTGAGTGTTGTAGCGTTGCCGGTACTGTTGCGCACGATCTGGTCGGCTGAAGTCAGACCCGATACGAGAGAACCTTGGACACTCAATCCTGATGGAACTTGAACGAAGATAGCTGGCAACATGGCAGCTGCGGCAAGACCGTAGCCGATTTTCCTGGTGTGTGGTGTGAAGTCGCTGACTGAGCTGGCGCGCGATGTATGGCCACTGCTGTTGTGCGTTGGGTCATAAGCTGATCGCTCGACCTTAGGCGTACGGATGGGTCCATGGCTCTTCCTGCGATACACCTTACGCACCTTGACCAACTCGGGTCGTATCTTGTTCTCCCACATGTCTAAGCTCCAGTTCTCGATGTGACGACCAAAACGCGCATGAGCGTTGGCGGCGATACCGATGCCTAGTGCTCCGAGAGTGTTGCTGACTTGCGCATTGCTCTTGAAGTACTTTGAGCTGTGGAAGTTGATGACCCAGCCGATGAAAGCAATGACTGTCATGGAAGGCATCTGCTTGTACTTGGCCTGATTAACAATCTGTAGACAGATTGCGAACGCAGGAACAAAGAGGTAGTAGAAGTTCGTTGACATGGGCTCATGGCAGGTCGTCCGGGAGGTTGCATTGCCGTCCATCATGCCATATAGTACAGTACCAATCGTGATGCCGAATCCAAGGAAGAGAGAGTAGATGATGGCATACACCATGCGTACAGACCCAGCGACAATGTGCTTGCTCTGCAGCTCTAGCGACGCACAAAGCACCATGAAACCAGGCAGAATGAGGGCGATACTAGACTGAGCCATAGCGCTGAAGCAAAAGATCTCTTTCCCGTCGTGCCGAATGGATCCAAGAGCACGCGCAGCAAAACTAGTGATGACCGATGCTCCGATCTCGAAAACGTTGCTGATAAGGTCATTTCCAGGGGCGACGACAAGTTGAAGCCATCCGATGAGGCATCCCAGAAGGAAGCAGAAGGGCAGGTCGATAAATCGAGCTTGAAACGCGAAAGGTCCGACAGTGGCGGAGGCTAAACCGTACATCGGCACCCGAAGCCACTTGTTGAACTTATCTTTGCGCACCATGATAGCGTCCAGTCGAGGTGTAGCCTCTTCCACACCTATCCTATCATGGACCACATCTTTGTAGATCTCGTGCACATCTCGCAATTTGCCAAGATCAACACCCTGGCTAGTTCGAACGAGTTTAACCTCACTAGTGTGAACTGAGGAGTCGTCGAATGCAACAATCATGCAACCAGGCATGTATAGAAACTGTGCTTCGATCTCCAAGACACGAGCCGACATGTTCAGGTACTCTTCCAGTCGATGAGTGGGAGCTCCGTACATCATGAGCGCTTTGCACAGCTTGCGCAGATAGTTCTGGCGCGCAAGTGTACCAGCAAGATGGATTTTGATCTTGATCTCCTCCTCCTTCCTCTTGTTCTTCTTGAAAGGTAAAATAGACTCGTCAGACTTGGAACGCTTGCCCATGCCAGGACGGGCTGTCTTCTTGTATTGCTGATCAAACTCCTGACCAAGCTCTTGTTGCGCAGGTGCAGCAAAACTGTGAGCTGAGGATCCGACTAATTGCGAGATGGATGTTGCTGACTGGTTGTTGTGATGGCTTCGGAACCAAGGACGGCCTCCGCGTGGGGTCGAGTAGCCGGAGGCGGGCGGCGATGGGTTCGGGGAGTTGGCCGCTGTTGACGCTCCGCTGAACGTGCCAGTGCTCAGAGTTCGATGGTGAACGGGTCGGCGCGATGATGATGATGGTGGTGGTGCTGCATTAGAAGACATTTTCATGAGAGTGCCCAACACTCCCGTTCTGTACTTGGTAGGACGAACGACATGCTCATCCTCAACATCCATAGCGTCTGGTGTCACCTGGCCTGACGCGAGCGGTGCTTCGGTATGATACAGATCTTCAGCACTTAATGCAGGCTGGCCATTGGCAGCTCGTATCGTGTGCTGACGAAGAATCATGGATGCACGCTTCATGAACCTGGGGTCGTCCTCGTCATCATCGGTGGTCTCGCCCACCGATTCGTATTGCTTTGAAAGATTCTGGAGTTCGACAGGCGGAGACGCGATCTCCTTAGAGTTGCGTCGCGATATTGGGGCAGAGTAAGTACCGACAGACTTGGACAGTCTCGCTGCGCGGCGTTGAGCAGCAAGTCCTGATCTCTCCTTGAGGTCATGACCAACCGAAGGAGTGGTCGCCGCATTGTCGTCGAAGGGGTTTGGTTGGTCGTTGAGATAGAATTCCGGAGGTGGCGTTCGGGGACCTGGTTTTCGGATGGCTGGGCGAGGCTTCTGTACATCTTTTGGAGCAGCGATAGGTTCCTGTATGACTTCTTCCGGTAGGTGTTCATCCCCAAGAGCTAGACGTAGCGAGGCACGGATCTTCTGGAGATCATCATGTGATACATCCGACCGTTCGAGGGGCGTGTTATGCCCCCCAGAGCCTGTGTCTTCAGGTGATTGTTGTGAGCGTACGGGATGTTCTTCATGCCAACCAACACGTTTCCTACCAGGAGTGGCGGACATCTGGTCCTCGGGTTCGAAGTTGGCCTGACGAGATGGGCCAGCATCTTGAAAGGGGTTCATGATGATATTGTATTCTCTTGGGCACTATCGGACGGCTAGTTGGGCGCGCCAGGAGTCGCCAGTGCGCTCGCAATAATTACCAACGCACCGACTTCCGCGACTAGGTGCAGATAACGTTGCACGTGGTGTGTCCGATTTGTGCGCTAAATCGCCGGTAGTTTTGAATAGGCAGGCTGATATCTGGGACCGTTCATGCACCTAAAGGTGGATGTTTGAAGGATCGTGAGTCCCAAGGAACGTACAGAGTATGGATATACGGCGTGGTCTGTGTAATGAGAGTGCCTGGAAAAATGGATAACGATTTGGTAGAGACAAAGACCCAAGAATGACTGAGTCGTTGACTTGAGCTACTGGTTCAGATCGCAGTGGAAAGTGGGCAGTCTCAACGTTGTGTGTGTGTGGGATTGATAAGAGCCGCTAGTGCGGGTATACCACACACGGTCCCGAACGTCACTGGAAGAGTTCTCAAACTCTGTAGTGGCGTGCCGACCCAATTTTCCTGGTCGAAACGCAGCGGCCAGAAGGTTCGGGGTCGGGTTCGTCAGCTTAGCAAAGGAAGGGTGGAGCGGAAGTTGCAGGGGACATGGAACGTCGGGAGCGCCAAAATCAGCGACAGGCACCAGAATCGTAGCCCAAAATTCCAGAACCTTGATCGCTGCAGCGGGAGTGGCTGCACTGGCGTTGTGAGTATTTTAGGGAACCCGCGAGGTCCGATGGTAAAGAGCCGCAAGTGCGCCGAAGCGGTTTGAGTATAAGAATGCCTGTATTCGCCGGAGACGCAGAGATTTTTGAAGGCCGTCAGGAGTCGGCGTACTACGACTTTCATAGCGAGTTCCCGCCCGCAGGATTGCACAACGTTTGATGAAGCTCTTGACTGACGACACTGGACGAAGCGCGGACACCGCTACAGCCAAGATTTGCAGTCATCGATACCCAGGTCGGCTGTCGGCGCAGCAAGAAAAGTGGACATGGCCGTGCCAAAGCTTGGGATCAGTCTGGTTGAGGGAAACCGAGATAAGGAGACAGTGGGTATAACTGGGTCGTCCAAGCCTCTCAGCGCGCGTCGACCCAATCGTCGCAAACCTAGGGGCATCGTGGGAATGAGCTTGGTGTGCTATGATAACATGAGTGGATCTATGGCTCCTAGGCGATGATCGAGAATCAAGCAGCGCCTAGGTATATTGTACCATCGAGTCATAACAGCGTTGGCGAGCTGAAAAGAAATATGTTGAACGCATACAACGATGAATAGATTAGTCGCATGGTGTTGCAGCTGTTCGTGGTTGCGATAGTGGCGAACAAGAGGCTGAAAACCCTTGAAGGGCCGGTAAAGCTTATTTTCGCAAGCCCGGGAGTCCCTGCGCTTCCCAAGGTCCCAACAACAATGCGACGCCAGGAGATCGGAGCGGATGTTTCGGTGTCGCTCGCATCGTCACATGCTGAGGCGGCCGTGTACGAGTCTTGTAGGATCAATACGGCGACTTGCCATGGCCATGACGTCGCACGTGGGTGGTATGTTCTAATTCTGTTCGTATCTCACCACCAGCCAATACGAGCGTCTCCAGTCTCCACAATGTTCGCGACTTGGAGGTATCAATAGCGTAGAGCGCGTCTTCCTAACACTTCCGGATGTATCGCAATGTCTTCGTCACCATCTTCGTAAGACGTGCTCGCTCTAGCAACCATGGCTTGTTAGTATGTATCAGGGTCCAGTCTGATGCCGGAGTTGCGATCATCAGGAGAGACGCGCGCTCACCTCTGCAGAGGCTACGTCATAGCTCACGCCTCGCCAGCCTTGCATTCGACCCCTCCAAGACCCTTGGCTCCACTATCATTACTCAGTGCATCACGTGCACCTTCCCCTCTTGTCGATTGCCATGTGGGGCACTTGAGCTCTTCCCCGCACCTGCATCACAGCCGAATGTCTCTGAGATGAGGATGGAGAACCTTGGAGGCGGGGATTTGACAGCCCCACCATGAGGGACATGCCATCTTAAAGAATGACATCTGGTTAGCAGATGCTTTCACAGTATTCACATGCAGTAGTGCCGATTCGTAACCATGCCGAAACTCAATCACGTATGTTTGCGTTGTTCCTACGTGAGCGTCTCGCCTGTCGCTAATACTACCAGGTCGTTATTGTCGGAGCTGGTCCCTCCGGTCTTTTGCTCGGAGTCCTCCTTGCAAAAAATCTCGGCATCAAAGTTACGATCCTCGATGCAGATACCAAGATCAATGGCAACCCAAGAGCGGCTCATTATGCACCTTCAGCAGTTTACGACTTCCATCGCGCCGGCATCATAGACGATGTACGTGCAGTCGGGCTTCACCCCAGAGGTGTATGTTGGCGGTTGCAGGACACAACCTTCTTGGCTGGCATGGGCCGCGAGCCAGAAGACTCAAAATACTCAATGGTGGTGCTGCCGCTAGATCAATTAGGTCCGCTCCTCGTGAAGCATTTCGAAAGCTACCCCAATACTGAAATCAAGTGGGGTCATAAGCTGGTCGGCGTAGAACAAGATGATAATGGCGCTACAGCGGTCGTGGAAACGAGTGATGGCGAGAAAAAGAGGATCACAGGTGATTATCTGGTAGGCGCCGATGGCGCATCAAGTGGTGTTCGCACTGCATTGTTTGGAAAAGAGTATCCAGGAGAGACGCTGAAGCAGCAAATTGTTGCTACTAATGTATGGTTGAAGCATCTGAGTATAGATTCGACAGCTAACATGTTAGGTCTACCTACCATTCGATGAGCGATACGACTACTGGGATTCTAACTTCATTGTTCACCCAACGGACTGGTATATGGCTGCCAAGATCACAAACGACGGCTTATGGCGAGTGACATACGGCGATTCTGAAGACCTCTCGAAAGAAGAACTCATCAAACGCCAACCGCTCCGTTACGAGCAAATTCTCCCTGGTCACCCAAAGCCTGATGAGTACAAGCTCGTCAGTATGAGTCCTTACAAACTCCAACAAAGATGCGCACCCAGTTTCCGTGTAGGAAAGGTAATACTAGTCGCTGACGCGGCGCATCTATGTAACCCATTGTAAGTGAACGACACCCTTGATGCGCTTGCTCTACTGACATAACAACAGCGGCGGCATGGGTTTGACGGGCGGTTTCGCCGACGTTGGCTCCCTCTACGACTGCTTCACTGGAATCCATCTCGACGAACTCGACGAATCTATTCTGGATAAATACTCCGAAATCCGTATCAAGATCTGGCGCGAGATGATCGATCCCATGTCGCGCGAAAACTTCCACCGCCTTTGGGACCCAGCGCATGAAGAGAAGAGGAAGGAATTCTTCAAGATGTGTGAAAAGGCAAGCGATGATCCTGTGTGGGGAAAGAGTATCGCAGAGACTATTCATCAGGTTAGACACGACTTCACGCAATACTTTAAGAGTAAGCAGAAGCAGAGTGGCAAGGCTATGGGAGACATGGCGACAAGTAATGGCGTACTAGCAGAGAACAGTGCGGCAGCATAGTATTGTGGTAAGCTGGCGTACACGGATCGTAACATACACTGTAAAGTACACGCATGAACGAAGTCATGATAAGCTGCGATGACAACTTGGTTCAGTACTTGTATCAGAGCTCCATGATATGACTCGTATCAGTATCTACAGCCGGTGACTAAATCGATAAAGCTTTTAGAGAAAACAAGTTTGCCCCCCATCTGAGCCATCTCCACCACAAATTCAATCCAGGCATCACCCCAACGTCACCTAGGTACCATATCCAAAGCTCTTCCGTGTCACTGGTATATTTGCACATTTGTGCAAAGCTTTTCCTGCCGCTCGTCCTCGATACGCTTTCACCACGTGCTCTGAAGATTTCTCTTGTATCAAGAACTGCACATTATGTGGTACCGTTGCTGACCCCGAGAGATGGAGAAGTCTCCTTTGCATCTCCTGAGATATCTCAAGTCCTTTCTTAAGGGACGCTGCAGCGAAACGGCTAGTCTGTAGTCCTTTGAGAACCAGACTGAAGACCTGCGTCATTTTCTTATAAAACCCCCATTGGGTGGGTCATCAACTAGTCTAAAGCGAATTAGGAAGGATATGTTTTTGTGGTGGGTGTAGTCTCGCATATAGCCTGCCAGGATATTGTGGGCTTCGGGTGTTTGTACGATCGCGTCACAGGTCTGATCGATGGTTATCCGGCGGAGGCGATTCTTGTTGGTCGCGCTGCATTGGTGATAGAACGATCGAAACAACTCGTTCATACCGATCTCCCTGCTGAATTCATACTCATATAAGTTGCAGTGCTCGTGTCGATAACTGAAGCGAATGTTGTTCAAGTCTAACAAGAGCCCGCGTGTCTCAGCACGAGTCTGGTGACAAACTAGGCGAAATGGATTGGGGTCGCCGGGCGTTGTGACTCCCTCAATTTCCTGACTCGGTGGACGTTCGTTTGACAAGAAGGGCTCGAGTTTCGGGACCCAAACCTCAGGAGCTTTCGACAAGCCAAAGTCGCCCCATGGGTCAGACATGCGATTCTTAGATGTTGAGAGACAAAGCTCGTTCGGTGTGCAAGCCAGGCCCAATTGATATGTCAAGGCATATGAGTGAATCATGTCTCGTAGCTCGCGGGGAATGTCGAGATAGAAGCATGCACCGCTGGGATCCGGGACGCTGGGGTCGTTCAACTGCAAAGCTGAGGTCATGGTCGGGGTACGTATGTCAATGAATAAGGGCTTGAATCTTTCTTGAGCTGTGTGTTATTGATTATACTTGCAGATAATTTGAAAGACGAAAGAGATCAAAACCAGGCAGAGCCATTCACGCACGGACGACTTCTCTCACCTGCCAGGAGCGAGTTTTCTGCGATAGGCTCCAGTGAAGGTTCTCACCAGCAGACCGCAGAATTGTTGACTGAATGACAGGTTTCAGAGGTGATAGAGCGGGCCAGGATTACTTCCAAACAGCGTACACAAGAATGTGAAACAGCAGAGGTGCGCATGGCGAGGACTGAACTGAATGTTTCATATACTTGCGGAAAGAGTGAGCAATGACACCTCGATAGACCCAGAGTTTTACGCGTATAAAAACCAGTTACTAGTTCGCAATCTGCGCAGAGCGGAAACGAAAGTCTGAGTTAGGAACTGTGCTCTAGGCATACAGCCGCCCCGAGATAGGCGTCTCAACTGGAACGTTTGAGAAGCAACAATTTCCGATCTGTTCCTCTCCGTTGCCATCCACTTTACCATGTGTAACAGCGCCCTGTTGCATAGGCAGGAGACTAGCGTCCACGTCTACCGGTGGCGCATAGCATGCTGCGCTGATCGCAGCAGAATAGTTACTAGCCAAAGACATACCAGCTGGGTACCAAAAGCTGCTAATGATGAGTCCGCCAGCTGTGATAGTAGATCGAACGACAGTATTCAAAATGATTGCGAAGGGTGAATAGCTGCACAATACGACACGGGTGCTTCATACGCCTGCCAAGCTTAGCAGTTGCGTGGAACCTCGTACTCGTTGTCAGGGTCGCCTGTTCATGGCGTTTTGTCAACACGCCCTCTTGCCGGTGAGAGGATGTCGCTACCTTGAGATATCTTGTCGTTGCCCGAACCATCATTCGATAGTTATGGTTGGGATGTGTCTCTTCCGTCCTCCATGGTGGGGTCTTCGCACACGCGCTCGTCTACAAATAGACGCCTAGTGCATTTTGTCAACATGTGCCCTACCCAGTTACCCCGAGAAACTTACTTGTAAACAGTGAGGTTGTCCGCGCCGCATGCAGCTTCGCTTGAATCTTCATGATCCTGCAATGAGGTATACATGCCACTCGACCGTTGTACAACCATTGCGCGTAGCCTGGGGCCAAGGATATGCCAAAGTGAGAAATGAGGCATTGTGTTTAGGCGCAATAGCAGCCTTTTTATCCGTTGGCTCTCAATGACGACGGCGTTTCGTCGTACCTGAATCGGCACCGTGATGCCAGGGTTGGTGTCGTTGGCTGCATGCGCAAGACAGACATGTCTCACTCGAAGAGATTCCCAGGACTGGGTCGGTATAGGAAGGGCATTGCGGATCGCCTGCTGCGAGAGAGGTGCAAAAGTTACCGAGGGAAAGGAACCCTATCGCTTGTAACCTGTCATTGCCAAATGTATCTGTTGACGTTTCACGCAAGGCGCTCTGTACCTGACACCAGCATTGGTGATCATTCTACGACCTGGCTGAACTGAGGCGCGCGGACGTTGCGCGTTAGCGACCCTACGCGTCGGGAGCTGGTACGGTGATCCATTCGCGTAGAATTGGACATGCGCATATCTAACTTGTTTTTGAAGAGGTGTTTTCCCTGCTGCGACACATATGCGTGGTAAGCTAAAATCGTGATGGTGGTTGAAGCAGAGGAAACGTGCACAGCTCGTGCAGCATCAAGACACGTAACGTCATGGGATGCTGCCCAAAAAGCCTGAGGAACTGATCGTTAATTAAGGTCTCAGTTAGTTCAAATGATCATCACTTCTCACAGCCTGCAGAAAATGATCTATGCACCGATCGGTGTGTTGTCTAGTACTCATTTCATTTGTCATAGCTTGGGTGGCACAGTATCTGGTATAAAACATGCGGCATGAGCACGTTCACCACCACTCTATGCAGTGCTTCGCTTAACCCTGCTCACAGCACTGGGTGTGCTAGTAGGCGGCAGTGGAACAAAGGACTCAGTATGAGTAGCCTTCGCTGTGCCGTTCGTGCTGTAGTCATCCGTGACAACCTGGCTACCGTCTGCAATGACAACATGATCCAACACACGCTTGAAGTGCTCCAAGCTAGCCACTGGCTGGTAGTATGGCACTTCGTGGCCGGCCTCGTAGATCCTGGTGAACGAGAAGTTGCCGTACTCGCGAACCTCTCCGTATTCAACGCCGTCGACGAGGAAAGGAGTGTAACCAGCGGCGCGGAAAGCCTCAGAGTCGGTGTAGTTGACGGCTAGAGAGACGGCTTCACCACCGAACCAGTTGCAGATGTAATCGGCGTCACCGTAAAGAAGAGCGACGCGAACACCGTAACCCAGGATCTCCTCAAGGTCCTCGAGGAAGTTGGGGAAGACGAAATCACCTGTTGAGGCGAAACCGCGTGACACATTTGCGGCATTGGTGCTAGTGTAGTTGATGTTCACGCCAATTGCCTCCTGGGTAGAAGCCAAGTTCAGGAAGTACTCGAAGTAATCAGGTGGTGTAGGGTCGTCGTAAGGATGCCTGATATCGTAGACACCCCTGCCTCCGAATGCGTAGTAAGGCTCTTCTACCAACGATCGGCAGAGGTTGGTGGCTTCTGCGCACGTGAGGTAGCCATCTTCGGTAGTGCGGTCCGATTGCTTGCAGTATTCGATCTGGTCGTGGCAACCTTCAGGCATGTAGTAGGCATTCTTCATGAAGGTGTAGACAGTGTCGTTGACCGCCTTGATGCCGTAAGTGTTGTTAACAGCAAACTCAGGGTAGTAAGGTGCCTGAATCTGTTCGTCGATGATACCGTTGATAACACCAAGAGTGTCCATCTGAACTTCGACACCAGCGGTTGAGCCATTCTTAATTTTCTGGTTCTGCTGATAGAAGTAGTTGTAGAAACCTGGGCCGTAGTGACCTCCATAGCTATTAACTCTGTTAGCAATATGCTCAACTTCATACTCAGAGAGAACCTACCTCTCAGTCCAGAGGTTGAAAGTGAAGTTGGTGATATCAGGGTCGAGCTGTGGGCTCAGCTCCAGGAAAGCCTGGAGAATATGCCATGCGCCGATGGCTGCAGCATCGGTCGTGTTTGCGGTGTCAGGATCGACAAGTGAGTAGCGACCATCTTCATCTGTCTCAGTGGTCTCGTAAGAGAACCCTACACCCACGGGCTGTGAGAGGTACAGCATGTTGCTGTGCTCGTTCCATGAGTAGGGGTTGAGCTGTGTCTTGAGGTCTTCGGTAACGTTGCAGGGACCATGCTCTTGGAAAAGTCCGATGAGAGAGTCACTTCCAGGGCCTCCATTCAGCCACAATGTCTGGGAGAATGGTCAGTCGAGATCATCATAATTATTCACGGAGATTATGTTTACCAATGGCTTCTCTGTCGGGTTCTCTCGAGCCTCGAAAAACCAAAAGAACATGTTGGTGGTCGGGTTGAGGCTGATGTAGCCGGCATAGTCGTCAACACCTTCGGTAGTCTCACATACACCTGCTTTACCAGGCTGTTTGTACGTGATCTTAGCACCTGCAGCAGATGTAATTGTCGTGACGCCAGTAGGGTCAGCGGGCACTTGGCGCTCCTTGATGAAAGGTGCGCGAGCGCTGGCCAGAGACGCAGCCGCCAAGACGGTGGCGAGTTGTGCGAAGCGCGCCATGGTGGGAAGCTTGTCGGGGAAAAGAATAACCAAGAATTCAGTAAGTGCTTGCCCAGCCAAGTAGCGGGTTCTGCATCTTTATAAATACTGCCCCAGAACGAAGCCGAGCAGCGTTGCATGCAACCTCCCGCCTCGTAATCCCTTGCTTGAAGTCGGGGCCAACGTCAGACTACATGGTCGCGCACAGGAAATTAGTCTGGATCAGGCAACTGCGGATGCTCTGTACACGACCATTGGACGGATAACATCTGTCTCTGAAGATCCTCGGGCTGTGCGTGGGAGAAGAATAGTTGGGAATTTCGGCTAGGCTGTACCGGTACGTAACCGATAGATGATTTGTCGTGTCACTCTACCCTACCATTGTCAGCAAGAGATGCAACAAGTCACTGCAGTATCCCCTTGCTGATCCTTCTTTTCCCGGCATAACTCTTTTCAACAGTACGAATAAGGCCGATTTGTCGAGATGTTTGCGACAATTTTGCGCTGAAGTTCAAGCCTCACGTCAACGAGCTCAAGCTTGCTGCAGCGTGCATGGCCCTGTAAGCTCTTTACCCAAAGTAGAAGCTCGCTATGCACAGCGGCGGAACAAGGCCATCTGCCAAGGCTTGTCTTGCTTGTTGCCGGGGCGGGCAAAGCTTATCGACGTCATGATTCTGGCATGATACACGAAGTTGGGACGGAGTTGGGTGTCGTTGTCACGGTCAGACACGGTCTGGGGGGAGGAGGAAAGAGGGGAAGAGGCCGGAAAAGCCCCACCCACGCGGCAGCCGAGATAGTACCGCGCTAGCTCCCATCAGTAGGTGTTTACCGGGGTTTATAGAACCTTATCGTTACCTTGGTGCTATCAGGAAGTCTGATACGGCATGAATTGGAGAGATGTGCCGGATCCACGGACCATTCGCAATCTGTCAGCATGGTCGTTTGGCAATAGCTGGAGCAGTGGCCAGCTCGCGACTTCCTGGGCACACTTGGGTACGATCAAAACTGCACAACTTCTTACATGCATCAATCCGGCACGACGCGGCTCCAAGCGCATGGGTCTGCGTGGCCATGTTGGAGCACCAGTTCGCAATATGCTGACTCCATTATCTGTCAATTCCCCGGCAGTGAGAACTGTGTTGGATAGAGTGCTTTACTACTAAATCTCCGAAGAGAGCCCACCTACACATCCCGCGTCACATCATGTAGTAATCCCAGCACTCGCAACACTTCTTCGTCTCGCCTCTTCAACATCCCCTCCGAAATATCTCGCAATCTGAACATCCAACTCCCTCCCCGTCAACTTCGGCATATCCTTCGCTTGCTTGACCGGGTTGATGCCCTCATGATGCGCACTTGCAAAGATGACATCCAGCTCTTCTAGACTCCTACCCTTTGGCTCAGGGAAGAAGAAGTAGACGCTTGGAATAAGGCAAGCATTGAAGACGGCGAACATGGTATACGTGTTGTATTGTAGATTGGCGAAGGCGGGTGGGGTGATCATAACGATGAGGAAGTTTGAGATCCAGTTGGAACATGTCGAGAGCGCGTTTGCTTGAATGCGGATGCGGAGATTGGTAATTTCAGCAGGGTACAACCACGTCATTCCTAGCCAACCTGGGTGAAGGATTAGTAAAATGGTCTTGTATATCGAAGCTCTACCAAAGAGATGCTGCTTACCAATGGCAAAGAAGGTGTTGAAGGCGAACATGAATACTACAGCTGTGATACCGTACTTAGGCTCTAGAACTGGAGCACCAAACTCATTCTCACTGGCTGTTGATGTCATACCACTCATGATAGCCATGCTAGCCATCATGCCGAATGCACCAAAGAGCATGAGTTTGCGGCGACCAGCACGCTCGATCAATGGAATGGCGACCAGACCGGCCAAGAAGTATTCGGTACCATTGCAAGCGGACAAGAGACGAGACATGTCTGGCCCGAAACCAAGCGAGTTCTCGAAAACGTAGGTCGCATAGTAGGTCTGAGAGGAACTTAGGTTAGTCTCTTCTCCGAATTAGTGTGTAACGATATACGTACAATGAGGTTGATCCCGGAGATCTGTTGAAAGAACTGTGCGGCAACACCTAACAGCGTACGCCTTAGGTTCTGACTTGGGCCGTTGTACAAAAGCTCCTTCATCTTGAATGGGCCGTCCTTGCTTTGCGCTTCGAGCGCATCCTTGATGTTCGTGAGTTCCGTGTCTACTTCCTCCGAGTCTACTGGTGCATCGGCAAGGCGAGCGAGTAGGTGTCGAGCTTCGGTGTGGCGACCGCGCATTACAAGCCATCGTGGCGAGTCTGGTAGGAAACAGAGGCCGATCCTGGATGCTATTAGTATCATCTAGAGCGCAATTATCTGGTATGGGAAGAGTTGCGTACATGACGAGGACTGTGAAAAATGACTGGAATGCGATGGGAAACCTCCAGCGTACAGACGAGTAAGACTCGCCTGATGGGAGGAAATAGAAGCCATAGGTGACCCAGTAAGATATCATAACTCCTGCGACGATGACTGCTCCCGAGGTGATGATCAAACGCCCACGCTTCTCGGGTTTCGCACACTCGGACTGCCACGTGGGAATTGCTGCAAACATGTTTAGCTGACGGTAATACGTCGTTATGAATACAGTACTCACTCGCTGTGACCATGCCGTTACCGATCCCACCAACAACACGTCCAATACTCAGCAGAGCATATCCGTCGACCCCGCCTCCAGAAGTACCTCCTGCAGCTACTTGAATGATTGTTCCAACAATCATGATGAAGCTGCCCCAGAAACTACTGCTCTTTCTGCCCCAAGTCTCGCCATAGAACAAGATGAGAACAGCGCCTAGGAAACATCCGATTTGATAGACCGCGACACACGCAGACAGGATACTCGGGCTACCTGTGCACATGTTCGGGTCGGGTATGGTATTGGTCGGTGCATCGAGCCAACAAAGGTTGTTTGGACGATCGCGAGGTGTCATGAGAGGGAAGTGGCGTTGGAAATCATCGAGGGTAAGGACTCCGCTCAGAACACCCTGATCGTAACCGAACATGAGGAAGGCTAGACAGGAGCACCAGGAGATGGCATTGTTCAGAGCCTTGCCCTGCAGCAGACCAAATCCTGGGACGTGCCATTCTGGTAGATTGCCGAGTTTGGAGAAGGTCCCTAGTATGCCGGATGGTTGTGATGCTGACTTTTGTTGTTCGATTGCAGCCTGTGAAGACGACGAGTTTTCATAGTTGAGATTGTCGACGCGTGTGTCAGGGGAATGTTCCAAGCATTTCTCGTCAATCTTCTCGGGATCCATATTGAGACTGTGATAGTCAATAACCTTCTAGCTCATAAACATCCTAAACTGCTACCGATCAGCACCATCTTATACTTCTGCGCTTCCGCAAGCTCGGCTATCCTGCCAGTAGATAGACGAGACCAAGAGTGGTGCCGACTCCGCCATTTCCCATCACCTGCAACCCCAGAGTCTTAGCAAAACCATGTATGGGGTAATTTGTGACTGGTAAAGAGCCCATCGGCGACGTAGTCCAAGCCTTCACGAAGCCGGGACGGCCTTTTTAGGCAAGCCGACCCAGTTTCGAAGTTTTTCGCGCACACCAAGTCGGGCCAAGAGGCCAGACAAGCAGCGGGGCGGAGCCTGTACCTTGGCGGACGTCCTCGTCTCGGCAATCGGGACATTAATGCGGGAGAAGACATGAATAAAGGTGAGCATTGTCAGATGATTAGTGAAATGAAGCAGAAAAGGGTGCGTGTGAGTCTGCGTGAGGAATTGTGCGTGTTGTGTGGCAGACATGCTCTGCCCTGACCCGTATATAACGCCGAGCCATGCTGACCGTATAGTACATATTTGTGCAAGCATGCAACTTGCTCCATGCCTGCTGGCGGCTGCAGATGGTAGGCATGGTTGCCGAGTCCTCCATCTTTGCGATGCGCCATCTCCTTCTACCGTTCTCACCTCCTCCATAGACCTGAACCAGTGTTCGACTTGCCCATCGCACGTTCTCAATTCGTGTACGCTTAATTCGTGATGTAAAAATTGTTCTATTTCTTGCCGCGTTTCGCCTCGAGGAAGAGTACTTGTTTCCGCACTGTGCATTGTCAGCCGTGTTCCTGCGTCTCCATGCGTCTCCATGCGTCTCCCTTCATGTAAAAAAGTCCAATATCTTTCTCAGTTGCGCGTGCCCGGCTCCTAGCGAGGTTTTGTACATGAGGCAGGCACGATGTTCGAAGAAATGAAAGAGCGATGGTGTCGTACCGATTGGGTCGTATTTGAGCATGCTCAGCGGTTGGTGCGCACGCGGTCTTTGCATGGTCCGGTAGTAGCCCGTCATGGCCATGGATATCAGGCGCACCATAATGGTACGGGACTTTGCTGTGAGGTGCCATTGTCAGCGCAGGTAGACAAAGATGTGCGTTGCGGGCGGCCGCATTGGGGACCGGCCGGGGTAGTATAGCGGGTATTTGAGGAGAGAATCTAGTGCGAGAGCAGGAGTGCGTACCTTTCTTCGCCATTGCGACAGGCGGAGATGTGTGATGCCGAGGTCAACGGTGGTGGTGTCGCGGCGTGACGATTTGCAGATGCGGATCTTGGAGCGGAGGTCCCACAGCGCCAACCTTGTCAGCCAATCAGCGTCGATTGAGGTCTTCGCGACCCAACGTTCGCTGATGATTCTTGTAGTTCACGACCGGAGTTTTTTCCAAGTTACGAAGTCGTTCTAGTTCAGCTTGAGGCTCTAGTTCACCTCGTCATGGGGTGATATGTATCGTCTGTCTCGAACTTTCTTATGTACAAATTTACATCTGCTCTGTCTATTTCCACTCAGTAATCTGCAGAATATCTTTCGATTCATTTCATGTTAATTGTCGCCCACCAATCTTCCCGCGTTTATTGTGGTGCTGTTTCTGCCTTCGTATTCACATGTCGTCAACTTTTGGATGCTTCTCGTCCTATCAGAGATTACAATACGATACATGAGAACCATCAACCTGATGAGCAAGGCCTGCACACATAGAATGGCATGTTTTGAAGATGTGACGGAACAGATCGATTCTCTACGTGGAAATGTTGGAACAGAGCATCACCATCCATCCCTGCTACAAGGGTTCGGAAGACAAAGCAATACGATTCGGTTTTTTCTTGGCTTCGTTTCTGAGACACGACTATCGCCGTGAAGCAGTAGGTCCTTTCTGAGATGCCGTGCGGTAGTGCAACATGGGTAACAACCCGGAAGGTGGTGATGTGGTAGATGAAAATGCAAAAGACAGAGCAAATCGTCGAATATCGCTGAGGTTGGGAAAGGCGGACACGTGAACATCAAGAAAGGAACAACCATAGGAGGGAGCTGACAAAAACAAGCTATGGGAAAGAAACCATAAGAAAAGCGCGTGATTACTTTCACAGTACTTTGAGCTGTTGCCAGCAAACATTGTGGAGTTGCGTATACATCCTGGGGTACTGATGTCAAGCTGACGGTAAGGATGTCGAGCCAATGTCAACAGCAGGCTGTAACGATAATCTTCGAAGGGTGTTTTGATGTTAGCGGCAGTAAGCAGATGCAATATAAAGACACTCGTGGGCTTGAATGAATACCCAATGAGCCTGGAAACCGCATAGCCACACTCATGTCGCCAGCGTCGAAGGCAAAAAGAGAGCGTGAAAAAAGGGAGAGCAGCAGGCCCGTGCTGTCGTCGCCTTGGGTATTCGAATCCCCCTGGATGCATGGGCAAAAAGATCGCCAAAAAAAAAATGGTAGCTTCTCTTTGATTGAGCGTGTCATCCTTAGTGCAGGGGCCATGCTAATCTTCTCTGTATCGTTTCAAATTGACCAAATGCCCGAAGGCGAAGAAAAGACAAATAAAGCGGTAGATATTGCCAGTATTGTGTTGTGGTGATGTTCGTCGAGCAACCGCTCATTAGGCTCGTGCGTGGCGATCAAGGCAACAGGCGGCGCGTGACACGCGCTAGCAATCGACACGGAGCAGGCGAGTAAGGAGACTGGATGAGGGATGATTGGCAGATAATGAGAAGGCTGGTCGATGTTAGCAAGGCTTGTGCTGACGGGCTTCGGACGAATCTTCGATGTAGCGACTTATCCATCACCCACCTCGCGACACGAAGAGGAGCGATCCTGCCATCACCCCGCATCGCAATGGCATCGTTACGTCTGTGATCTGTGGTCTTGTCGTCTTCGCCTTTGCGAACATGGGCGGAACTGACGCGTTGTGCAAAAGTCCTTGGGACGTTCAGAGATCCGGCCAAGTCGGGAAGATACCCCGATTTTGGGGTTACCCCTCCTGCGGCGATGACATTCTCCAAAAACTGGATAAAGAGGGTGGAGAGTAAGTAGAAAAACGCAAGACGATAGAAAGAAAGCTCTACGAGCTTGCTGCTGCGATCATGCGCGACCAAAAGACATCTGCAGCAATGTCAACAGGTGCGCTCGTAATGAGAGAGGGTAGATGAGGCATACCATCGTCGCATGCGACATCAATATCAGAATCTTGGAGGAGTATGAGAGGTGTTATCGTTGGGGTGGGAAACCTGTTAGTCTCCAGCTCTTGCCTTCGCGAATGAAGTAGTCGCGGCTCCGCAGCATGACGCATGTCAACAACCACATTTACTCCGCGCTGACTCGATGCGCATCGATTGCACTGCGAAAAAACTGAAGGCAGGCGTTGCGTGAACGATTTGAAAAGGGCAAACTGCGTAGAATTAGCACTCTGCTGTTTTGAGGTCGTCAGAGCACTTATCGTGTAACACCAACTCGGACGGGGCAAGACCGGGTAAGGATCTGATCAAGATGAAGCGGGATTCACATGATTGCTGCCACCACTTTCGAACGCGATACTCAAGACAACTAGCATCGGATCAAGGGCTTGGGGGAGAGATGATCTTCAAAGGTTGGCGATATGGACTTCGATGCTACTGCGAGGAAGTAACCTCGGAAGAGCATCGCACCACCCCACAAAGGGCCGACCTGGAGCTGTCAGGGGGAAAGAGAGTGGAAGAGTCAGTTCAAGCATTTAAGATGGAAGGTTGAGAGATACCGATTTACCGGGATCAATAAAGAAGCAACGTGTTCTGCTTCCAGGACAAAAACATCACACATCACGCCAGCAAAGAACATCTCATGGAATCATGTAGAAGTTATAATCTGCGGAGATTTAGTAGCTGGAATTAACGGGAAGTTGGAAAGGAAGACTCACTATCTCTATTATAGTTGAGGGTTTCTTAGAGTGGACTCCGAAGGCTTCTCACACGCCATGGGCGGGATGTCTTTCGCGCGACCACAATGCCACGAAACTGCTTACTCCTTGTTGGTTTGGCAAAGCTACGATGCTCGAGATGGTCGGAAGTCCAGGGCCACATGTCTCGACATTGCCGATAGAAGACACGCAGACATCATAGTCACAGGAGCTGACGATTATAGCAATATGCGGTTCGTAGCTTAGAGGCGTGTAGAGGTTGCCGGTAGAGGAGGGAGTCTTGGGCGGTAAAGTGGATGATGGCGCAGCGAAAGACGATGGGGGAATCACTATGCTCGATTCCAAGCTCTCCGATCCTTTGCGCAGAGAGGCTGGAACTTTTCTTTGAACATAGGTACCATAGTCTGAGCAGTGAAGCCATGGATAGGTTGAGAGTCGAGAAGATCCTCATCCTGTGGCAACGGGTCCTCATCCCACATCTCAATCTGAACGTTCCCCACAAGGCTTCGACAGCCTCAGCAGCCCCAACGGCTGCGATCTCCTGTTGTTCGTTAGTATGGTGGCAGATCCAAGAGGTACTCAGTGTACTCACGGCTGCCTCCGCCATCCTGCAACATTGAAGGCCTTTTGCTGGTCTTTGTTAAACCAGTAGGGCATACAATGATCAGAGTGTAGTGGGACTGGACCTCGTCGAAGATTCCTGGCGAGAGGAGTGATCGACAAGCAGTAATGGCGAGAGAGGTGCGCAGGACAGTGTCAATCGCTTGTGCCCAGTCATGGAAACCACTTGGAAGACCGGCGACGACAGCAAGGGCGATACCGTTGCATCATGCACCAAGGTGCATACTGGAGCTCTTTTAGCCATCCTTCTCTGAAGAGAAGAGACGTTACCAGGAGGCGGCGACGGGGAGCCAGAGTCAGATTTTGCCATCCCATCCTGCAAAATTGTCAGCCAGCGACGAGGGATCAGATACACATACGTGCTGAAGATCCTTCATCATGTTGCAGAGCCGTGGAAGTATAAGTGACCTCGCCAAGTAATGATGGCAAGCTCCATGTGGTCCGGCATTCGCCGCCATGATATGAGGAAGGGTTGTAGGGAACGGGAACTATGAGCGAGAGGGAGCGATAGTGGGCAGGCAAAACTAGAACAATATTAGTGGTTGAGGTCTCGAATCGCGACAAAGGGAAAGACATCCCGATCTACAAACATAACGGTTGCTCGCCTGATGGGCAGATGTCGTAGCATCGACCTGAAGATAACGCCACTGCTGACGAAGAGAGCATCATGTATAGCGCCCGGCGACCAAAACTTAATTGTTAGCAGAGGTGTCGGTACCCACATGGTGGATACAAAGTGTGCGAAAAGGATACCCGTAGTTGTAATGAATACAAACCCAGCTCCTAGAGCGGGGCACTTGACTGGAGGCGCAATAGCGGCATCGGCGAAGCTGTTGTCAGTGGAATCTGGAGACAAAAGGAGACGGGACTCACGATCTACTCGAGCTCGAGCTCATGCCGGTCGGTGGAAGATGGCTACAGACGAGGCAGAAGTAGAAGGGAAAGGTCAGAGTCAGCGCTGCTACAACCAAAGTGGTGGGCAGTCGGGGGCCAGGAGGGATATTTCTATCACAACCACAGAGTGTGATCCGAACGCTGTGAGTAATGATGAAGCTTTGTTGGAGATGACACAAGCGATTGCTGGGTAATCTTGGGTGGTTGGTGTGGGAGTAAGAGAAGGGGAGGCAGTGGGGCAGAAGCTTTGATTCATAATAAGACAGTTAGACAGAAGCGGGGGTGACGACGAGTTCGTCGGTACCTACATAACTGTAGAAGACGAGACAGGGGCTGATAGCCGGCGAGCAGCTTGCTGCAACATCCACTGAGATACTGCGACCCCAAGAGAAGAGATCCAAAGACCAGAATGATGGTTTTAGATAGATGTAAGATATTGAATCCTCCTCGCAAGACTTCGCAAACCTATCTTGCCGTTGTGTGTTGATAACTTTGACCTTCATTTGACTTCGACGCTAACGACAACCTGCGACAGCCCCTCAACACCATGACCTTTGCCAAGCCCTCGCCATCATGAGGTAGCGTCTAAATTTGCTGAACACGAGAAAGGCTGATCCGAAGGTATACTCAAGCTTCAGAGTATTCCAAACATCGACAGCACCAGCACCAGCGCTAGCTGCGCTGGAAGTATGTGAACAAACTTGAACAGTTCTGAGGCAGGAAAGTACGATTCGAGACAATGGTAGACGGTAGGAACTTTTCGATCTACAGGTACGTACGAGCATCTGAAA